ACGTTAATAGGTTATGTTACATAAAATGTGAAACATCACTTATGAAAAAAAAAGCTTTTTTGGTATTGCCCCACGAATCTATAATAAACTACCTGATACAATAAAAAATATGAACTCATTTAAATTTAAGAAAGAGCTTAATGAATTATTAATAGACAAATGTTACGATAAAATTGACGAATTCTTGAATGACAATTTTGACTAATTATATTAACTTTAAACTATATCGACTAATTATATTATTTTGTTATTGTCATCTATTTAATTTTATCAATGTAGAATCTTAATTGGTGTTACAATTTCATTAATTTTTATTCTATTTTATTTTTAATTGCATGATTCTCATACGAACACACCCTTATATTTGTATGTCTTTAAGACAAAACATAGCGTACTACTAATTGTAACCCTCGCAAGACCTTCAAACCTACCTATGTTTGACAAATAAACTATTCTGATTCTGATTCTGAATACGAGCTGTCTTAAAGTTGCGTAAATCCCGCCGCATGCATTTGGAGATCTGTTTGTTCAGTTAACTGTATGTTGTCAAATCTGCTGACCACTGCAGATTCATCTCCCGTCCAACAACCATGACATTAAGAGTGTGATCGAAGAGTTTTTGTGTTCTTCTGCGACGGATCTTACGAACTTAGCTCCAACCGCATTTTTTTAAAATTATGGATGATTTTGAAACAGACATTAATTTTGACTGCATTATTTAAAATCAAATAAGAATTAATCTAAACAACGACAGTTCAACTGGTTGAACTGAAAATGATTGAATAAATTAATTTTTAATCTAGTTTCAATTTTAAATTTTTATAACTTTGCCTCTAGAAATAAGCAATAACAATAAATACGAAGAAACTGATAAATATTGTGTTTTAAATTATCCATTTTTAATTTATTTTGGTATTATTCAAACCAAACTGTAAATGATTACCAACTCTAAATAATCTATATCGATTTTTTTTAAGAATCGAATATTGTACGTTCCCATTTTTTGCTTGGCATGCTTGGCGCAATAAGTCTGACAGCTGTCAAAATGTATTTCTTAGATTTGGTTGACTATAAGTAACACAAATTCAAGCTGTCGAGATTTTACTGTTTAAGTAATATAATAATATAAATTAAAATATATAAAATGGTATATAAGTAAATACATAGATAAGATAAATATATACTTTCATAGACATGTTTGCTATTATATACATATGTTACTGTTAGAATGCGGAACGCGTTAAATGTGCGCATTAGCTAGATAATCTGCAGATTATGGGGTCAATCCTCCGTTAATGTGCGATATTTTAGTTAAGTACCAAATATCTGCTCTTTACTTAGTTAATCTGTATATTAACGGATGCTACACTGTTGAATCGCGGATGATAAAGCTGTTTGTATTGCATTTTTTAACTCAAATTACTATATATATTTTATGAACGATTGTTGTCTTTTATCATCGAACTGTTTTTAGTTTTTTTTTTTTTTAGTTTAAAAGTGGTTGTGACCAAGAATGTTAGACAAAACTACGTTGACTAATTTTTTAAATTAAAATGTTTAATAGACATAAACACTCACGCCTGTCACCCAGAGGGGTAGGCAGAGACTACAGACTTCCATTTGGCACGATCCTGACACACCTCTCTTGCCTCCTTCACATCCATACACCTACGCATACATGCTCGTCGGTTAAGGGTACTCCTAATTTGGCCCGTTTTCAATAAATCGCCAATTTGGTCGATAAATTTTCGCCTAGGACGTACCTTTCCGACTTTGCCATTCACGTCTGCACTATAAATTTTCTTTGTCACTCTTTCCTCATTCATTCTTTCCACATGACCAAACCACCGAAGCATTCCTTTCTTAATCCTGGTCACAACATCATCTTGCAAACCACACTCTTCTCTTATTACACAATTTCTTACCCTGTCATTCAGATTCAGCGCTAACATACTCCTTAACGACCGCATTTCTACTGCGTTTATTCTACTCTCGTGCTTCTTCTGCCACACCCAACTTTCACTACCATACGTTAAAGTAAGGACCAACACAGCATTGTGAATTGCCATACGTGCCTTTTTTCGACACATTTTGACTCTTCACAATAGAGTGCAAGGCCCCATTTACTCTATTTCCCGCATTCACTCGTCCTATATCCTTATCATATCTCCCATCCCTGCTAAATACGCAGCCCAAATATACAAACTCATCTACTTGCTCGATCATTTCCCCTTCTATTCTTATTTCACAAATCGTTTTACTTTCTTCTCTTTCAAAAACCATAACCTTCGTCTTACTTGCGTTCACTTTCATACCCCTTTCTTTTAATGATCCGTTCATTAATGTAACCATCATTTGCAACTCGGCCGCCGACGACGCAAGAATAACTTGATCATCGGCGTACAAAAGGCATTTGACGGTTAACTCACCCATTCTTAATCCGCATTCTTCAACTTTCAAATTTTGCAAACAACTGTCCATAAATAGGTTGAACAGCCACGGGGAAGCCACACAGCCCTGTCTGACACCTTTATGGATGTCAAACCAGTCCGAGTAGACCCCGTTGATCCTAACACAAGCACTAGAGTCCCTATAAAGAGACTCCAATGCCTGTATCAAGCCAGCGCTCAACCCAAATGAGTTCAGTGTTTGCCATAGCAAATCCCTATCCACTCTGTCATAGGCCTTTTCCAATTCCATGAACGCGCGCAAAAAACCTTTTGGTTTTTGGCCAGAAACTTCTCCGCGATCATGCGCATGGAAAAGACTTGATCTGTACATCCCATTCCCTTTCTAAATCCCGCTTGCACATCCCAAATTTTTCCATCAGTTTCTTTCACGACCCTTTCAATCAGTACCTTAGCATACAGTTTTCCCACAATGCTAAGAAGGCTGATGCCACGGTAGTTTTTACAGTCCTGCTGCGACCCTCTTCCTTTATATACTGGGACTATCACGGCTTTGCACCAGTCTACCGTTACCCGCTTCAGTTCCCAGCATAAATTAAACAAGGTGTGCAGCAGGCCTGCCACCACTTGCTCTCCAGCCCTTAGCATTTCGAGTGAAACTCTATCATATCCGGCAGCCTTACCTGCTTTCATGCTTTTCATTGCTTTCATTATTTCATCTATACTTATCTCGCTACCTCTTTCCTCTTCTTTCGGTGTTTCCACTTCACTTAATACACACGTTGTCTCCTCACTCATAAACACGCTTTTAAAATATTCCTTCCATCTCTTTAAACTCCAAACTTCATCATTCAGAATATAGCCATTCTCGTCTCTTATAGCATTCATCGTAGGCTGTTTTGAATGTCCCCTGGCAGTTCTTAACAAGTTTCCAGAACATTTTAATACTTGCCTGGAAGTTATCCGATATTCTTCTATCATTCTTATCCGTTCTTTCTTGCTTTTTTCTTTCAACTACTTCTTTTACTCTCTTATTAAGATGTCTAAAGACTGCCTTTTTTCTTTCAATATCACCATTCGTACCACTAGAATTAGCAGCCTTTGTTGCTAGTAAATCTAGCCATGCTCTCTTCTTTACTCACTCCTCCTCATCATCCCACCATAACGTATTATTTTTCCTTTCATTCTTTCTCTTACTAACACCACATACTTCGGTAGCTGCATCCACTAAACCTTTCTTTACATTTTGCCATATATTCTCCAAGTCTAACTCCTTCATTGATAATTCTTCCAAACCACTTATATTTTCTTTCAGTCGACATTTGAACTTGTTTTTATCACTTTCCTCTTGTAACCTTTCTGTTCTAATACGCTGTAACTCAGTGGTAGACACAGACGATCGATGGCGCCAACGCCTGAATAGACCATTAATTCGGCATAAAACTAAATAATGATCCGTTCCTACGTTAGAACCCCGGTAAACTCTCGTATCTACCACTGCGCCCCTCAATCTTTCATCCACAATTATGAAATCTATCATGCTTCAATCGTCACCTCTTTCCCAAGTATACATGTGAATCTTCTTATGACGAAAAAAGTATTCGTCACAAAAAGATTCTTTTCCACACATACGGTGAGGAGGTCTTCACCATTTTCATTTATACTTTCATCACCAAACGTTCCCAATATCCTTTCATAACCAAGCCTCCTGACCCCAACCCTTCCATTAAAATCTTCCTAGCATAATAATATTTACATTTCCCTTACACTTCATTAACACCATCCTTACCATTTCCCAAAACTGCTCTCGGATATAAGTGGGTTTAGACATGTCTGGGGCGTAGACCCCTAACACAAACAACTTCTTTAAGCCCACTTTCATTCGTATCCATAGCAGTCTTGGGCTTACACATTCATACTCTTTCACACATTGGCCCATTCTTTCTGAAAGGATGATACCTACTCCCTGGCATGCCCGCTCGATCTCTTCTACACCAGACCAGTATGCGGTATACATGCCATGTGTAGTGACATCCTTCCCCTTCCTTTTCGTCTCATTTACGCATAACACATCTATTCCTCTATCATACATCATATCGCATACTTCATCCATTTTATCATTCATTGCCCCACATACATTCAACGTAACCAGACGGGCCTCTGCAATCCACTTTTCGCCTCTTCGGGAGACAGAACGTGACGGGTGGCGAACCTCGTCGCGTAAAATGTTTAATACTTTCAAATTATAGTAATTATTATGTAGGTACATAGCTTTACCAACTGTTAACCTACTGTTTTTCCGTAGATGCATATTAACTATTATAATATGTATAATGTGTTAAATGTGTAATAAAGTGTATATTTTAATACATGTAACATATAGTAGGCATTTAAAATTATGTAAGTGAGATAATAATTTTGACCATGAAAACTGTGGCTGCATTATCATACAATTTCCAAAAATTGTTTATTTTATGATAAAATGTTTATTATATTATAGTGTCAAATATACAATTGAATAAGCTAGAAAAAAGTTTAGTTTTGCAGATCACTTATCATATTTATTATCATGTTATCAATATCATTTTATAGATAATGTCCGAGAAAATACTGCGAACAGTACGCGTCGACGCGAGGAGGGCGAAGGACCACCACCTGCATTGCCACCACCGCCGCGAAAGCCCCCACGAGGGCGCATTTCCACTTCGGAAACATCAAGGTAGATTAACTCTTTGATTGTAAAATCAAAAACGTTACATATAATTAGAACTTATCTGTTGTTATGTGTTGTTGATCAGATAGGACCAGTCAAACAGTATGAGTAATTGGGCTTAGGCATTAAAATAAAAAGGAGCTGTTTTCTATGTATATTCAGTAAAAATGCAAAGTTACAGCCTCTGTACGTCCCACTGCTGATTAGGATCTCTCATTTCTGATGAGATTGTAATGAGCGCATCCCCGACTTTTTATGCCACGAGGGCATCGTCACTTAAAAATGATGTGTAATATTTCACAGATTTTACAGTGGGGAAGTGAATTTGTTCGAAAAATGTGTAGGTTAATGTTTCTTTCTGTACAATTACTTATAATATTAAAAATAAATGAACCAAACCACAGATACGAGGGCGACACTGAAAGTTTTTAGAACTGGCCACTTGTAAATGATATAATAAAAAAATAAGTTCAAATTTTGAAAATGGAACTCTTTGCCAATACTATTGTATAGGTATTTTTTATTAATTTGTCATTTGTTTACGATTTGGCGGCAAATTGAAAATTGTCTGTGTCACGTCAGCATGAATTTAACGCGAGAAAATTTTCGTTCAATGATTTTTTAGGACTTTCGATGTCACTTAAGTTAACAAGAAAGTTGTGATATTCGATTGGCCTTTCACGATGAAGCCCCATCTCGTGCCACTGTTTACAACTGGTTTAATGTGTTTGAACGTGGTCGCACTAATCTCACCGATGATCTGCGTAAGGGACAGCCTTCTACGGCGATGACTGAAGATAACATCAGTGTTGTGCGGCGTATGATAGAGACTGACAAAAGTGTGACTTAGCAGATTCGGACAAGCTTAGGCATCGGTACGAGTCAAATACACCTAATCTTCCATGAACATTTAGCGGTCAGAAAGCTTTGTCCCCGGTGGATACCTTTTAAAAAAACTTCGTCGTGTTGTTTGGTGTCGTGAAATGGTTCAAAGATTTAACGGAGGTGACTCAAATGCTGTGTTTGACATACTTACGGGTGACTAAAGCTGGATATATTGTTATGATCCTGAAACTAAGAGACAGTGTTGTCTGGGTGCTTCCTTCCGAGGAGTTGCCAACTAAAGTGAAGAGAGGTCGAAGCGTGGGAAACAAATACGGTGGCCTCGTTCTTCAGAAGGACAGGTCATTGTGCAACAATTGATTTAGAGGATCGAAAAACAGTTACTGCGGAGTGGTAATACACTAATAATTGTTTGCCACTTGTCTTGGAAAAAGTTCGGGAGAAACGACCTCGCAGTAGGATCCTCCTTCATCACGACAACGTCTCGTCGCACACCGCCAAGCAAACAATCGACTACTTGTCGATGTCAGATGTGGAATTACTGGGTCACCCCCGTTACCATGTGTAATAAATATAGCCCGCCTTCTCACCTTGCGATTTTTATTTCTATTGTGGTCATACCTAAACTTGTCTCTAGAAGTAATCAAACTCACGATTCGCAGCACCGTAGACTATTTTTTAGACACTGCGCTACTGAGCCGTAAAAGAGCAGTTTACCAGTATAATGATTAAAAATATTTTTTTAATCATAATACTGCGCAGCAATAACAACGTTAATTAGTTCCACGAAATAGAATAGGTACAATATTGACGAGAAAACAATACAAAAACAATGGTAGGAAGTTCCAGTAGTTAAGAATGAGTCTGAGTGAGAGTGAGTTTGTAATTTGTTTTGTCATTTGTTACTGCATGTGTGTATCTTTTATGTATGTATTTATTTCTATTGTACCTATAGTTCCTCCTGAATAATATAAATAAATAAAGCTCGACTGCCGCTTATAGAGGTATAGATAAGTAGCAGTCTCTCTTACGGAGGTCCATGGGGGAAAAACGACTCTGTCTTACAGAGGTTTCTGTTTCTCGCTAATAGAGGTTTTGGGAGCTTAAAATGACGGGTCCTGGCTATTATTCTCACTTTAGAGTTTTCTCACTTACCCAGGTTTGAGTGTATTTCAATTGCGTGAGAGTTTAAATAGCCAAACAGTCATATTTAAGAGATGACGCCTTAGTGATGCTGTTAGATTGTGTACTTGAATATTGTACCTTTACACCTATCCCCTCTATGAGACTATCTTTTGGGGAGGTTTATGTTCAGCATTGGATTTTTGTAGGCTGTAATGGATGTATGAATACTATATTAGGGTTGCCAGGTCTTAAAACCGAAAAGCTGGATAGACCAGCGAGTTTAGCCGGACATTTTGGTAAAGAGGCCGTACACCCTTATTTTATGTCTTAGTAAAAGAGATTATTTTTAAAGTAAAACAATGGTTTTTTATCAGTTACCGTAAAATCTTAAGTTCTACCGAAATAACGACAATTGAATAAATCAGTCTTCTTAATTATACTTATTCAATATTCACTACAAAATTAATTTCAATAATTGCAATAACATGTATTGTAAGTATATATGAAAAATGTAAAGAAATGGTCAAATTTAAAAAGCCAAACAAAAGCCAGACACCGTCTAATTTGGCCGGACACGCAACCAAAAAGCCTCTGTCCGGCTCTATCCGGACGTCTGGCAGCGCTTTTTTTGTAACGTTGTTTTGTAAAAAAGTTGTTGTATTTGGTAAATAATTACTATTGTTTTATGGCAGTACTATGCAGAAGTATTAAATTCTATTACTTAATACTTTACATAAACTTTTTAATTAATAGGAAGAGAAATGGCAATATTAATGAATCAAAATCACAGATTAGTGCTCAAAATGTACATAGTCTATTTTATTACAAACAGGATTCGCTACAACAAAATAGTGGGGGCGCGCAGAAGGACTGCCGTTGATCACCCTCTCACTTCAACCGACCGTTCTTTTTTTAATAGGATGTGGGTGACAAACGAGCACACAGTCCACCTGATGGTAAGTGGATGCTGTGGCCCATAGATATCTACATTTATCCTCGATTAAAAATTAAAATGCAGATGCGTTGCCAGCCTTGAGGACTAAGGTAAAATGCCTCGTTTCCAATAAAAAGGGTCTCCGGTTCTCTATACTCACCATACGAAACACGGCAGCATTGAACTGCTATTTTACGCTGGACCCATTCGTACTACAACCATAATATAGCTGCAGCATGGCTCTACCACGTATGTGTCCCGTGACTGTCTGCTCAGTACCACTAGCAATGTTTCAATCGACGCTTAACGTCATGCGGCTGTTGGAAGACCTTCTACGCGCGGGTTGTAGTTTATATTATGTTACATGAATACCCTAAGTTGACGTCATGTACCCGGCACTAGCGCCATCTAGTGTCGGGGACGAGAGCGAGGAGGGCTTCCTAGAAAATGTCAATCTTGACTTTCGACCATCTAGTATCGAACACAAGAATTAAGCTTTCTGGAAGCCCCACACTCGAACTTTCTGCGCCTGGTCGGTTGGCGCGCGTATTTACTTGAATATCCAGGAGGTTTAGGTGAAAAGTGTGTATTTATAGGCGCTGCAAGACGCGGTCGAGGCAGTATTGAATTTGGCGAGACAAGCGAAGCTTCGGAGCGAAATAAAGTGAATCAGTGTGATTAATTATTAGTGTTTTAAGTTTTAATTGGTGTAAAGAAAATTAAAGTGTAAATTTTGGTAATTCAATCGGCAGTTTTTATTGTCACGAACCTCAAGCTCGTAACAATTGGTGTCAGAAGTGGGATAAAATCATGCCGATTTTACCTAAGGAGGAAACAGAGGGTGTCCGTATCCGAAGTCAACGCCAGCAGGAGACGGACCAAAGAAGATTTGGTGGTGCAACGCCGCAGACGTCGGAGGGCCCGTCAGTAGCTCCTACATCTGCAGCACGTGACTTAGGTGCTCTGATGGTGATGCTGCAGGAGCAGGCTCGCCGACAGGAGGAACAGGTCCGTCAGTTGAAAGAGCAGCTGCAGAGCGGACAAGAGGAACAGGTCCGTCGTTTGGAAGAGCAGCTGCGGGGCGGACAAGAGGAACAGTCCCGTCGGTTGGAAAAGCAGCTCATACGCGATAAGGAAGAGCAGATGCTCCTCATGAGGGACATTTACGCTGCCTTCGCTAAAGAGATAAGGGAGGTGAAGGATAAGGTTGCTCAACATGACAACCGCCTGTCGGAACCTGAAACCCGAATCGACCAAGTGAACAATCGGGTTGACCACGTAATGGCTGACGTGAAGAAAACGCTCGACGACCTCAAACTGGGGGATGAAATTACAGCTCCCGTAGTAGCTACAACACCTTAGCTACGTGGGTTCAAAGTGCCGCCGTTCGACGGGACTTCTTCCTGGTTGGCTTACAAAATCCAGTTCGAAGCCGTTATGAAGGCGAACGGCTGGAATAAAAGTCAGGCCATGACTGCTCTCACACTAGGCCTGTGAGACCAGGCCTTAACTGTTCTAGAAGCTCTCGGTGAGGAAGTGACCTATGAGCAGGCATTGGAGGCGAGATATGGCGACGCTCACCTGGAACACGTCTTTCGTGCGCAGCTTAAAGATCGCATGCAGCGCATCAACGAAAACCTGCAGCAGTAAGCTTTAGAGGTGGAGAAGCTGGTGCGAAAAGCATACCGGTCTGTACCTGCGCTCATTGAAGCGAACCTGGTGCAGACATTCATCGACGGCATCCGTGACCTTGAAGTCAGAGCTGCTGTGAGGCTCGGGCACCACGAGACGCTTTAGGACGCCTTGGCCCATGCACTGGGAGTGGAAGCCGTGCGGCAGGATCATCGTTCCCATCGCGTCAGGGAGGTTGAAGCAGCTACAGTTCGCGACCGCAACAAAGGATACAGCCCTAGGTACTATGGCTGTGGGGAAAGGGGCCATCTTCGATCCAGCTGCCCTAAGCGAACTGTAGAAATGGAAGTTGATCGATCCCGAGAGGGTAGTGCAGCTAACGGCACCGCCTAGCGGCGGCAGGATCATCGTTCCCCTCACGCTAGGGAGGTTGCAGCAGTTACGGTTCGCGACCACAATAAAGGATAGAGCCCTAAGTGCTATGGCTGTGGGGAAAAGGGCCATCTTCAATCCAGCTGCCCTAAGCGGACCCTAGAAAGGGAAGGTGAACGATCTCAGAAGGGAAGTGCGGCTAAAATCACCGCCCAGCAGCAGCCGGGATACGACTTTACTATCAGACATCGCAGCGGGAAATCTCATGGCAACGCAGATGCATTGTCAAGAAGACCTTGTCCTGAAGATTGCAAACATTGTACTAGGCAAAAGAGTAAGGAAGTGGTATCCGTGAGGATGCTCAGGACAGACCACCTCAGCAACGAGCGGAAGGACAGCCTACGACATGCATAGCAGGAAGATCCGGACATCAAGCCGATTATGGAATGGAATGAAGGCCCGTGCTACCAAGCCTAAGTGGAGCGACGTCTCAGCGATGAGTTCGACCACTAGAAGCTATTGGGTCCAATGGGACAGCTTGCTGATTCAGGATGAAGTCCTGTGCCGTAAATGGGACAATGGTCGAGGAGACAGCTGTCGTTTGCAAATGGTTGTCCCTAAAGCTAAAGTGCCGAATGTTCTACAGCTGCACCATGATGGTTGTTCAGGAGTCCATCTGGGAGTTAAACGAACTCTACTGAAGATCCGAGAACAGTTTTACTGGGTCCATTATCGTGACGATGTCGAGGATTGGTGTCGCACATGTACAAGTTGTGCGGCTGTGAGGTGACCTCAAACACGTAGTAGAGGAGCATCGAAATTGTACAATGTTGGTGCACCATGGGATAGGACAGCCCTTGACATTGCGGAGCCGTTACAGAAAGGCGCAAGAGGGACTCCTAAGATCGTCCATGTGGATCGCCTGGCGCGTTATTATGGGGCCGATAATGCTCGGGACTAAGGGTGGGCGTTGAATGAACAAACAGTTTTTTTCGACGGTTTATTTGCCTCGACTGTTAGACCGGTTTATAGTCTACTGATAAACTAGTTTACCCGTGAACGACATTTTGCATCGCGCACATACACCGTTGAGTGTTTGCCGAAAGCCGAAACTGTTTCGCTGGCCACTCGTCGATCAAGCATTCCATGCTCTTCACACCTGCTTGTTTCGACGACTATCTCTCTTTCTCCACGTGCTCGACTCTCGAACCATTGAGTGGGAGCTATTTTGTAAAACAAGCTCTATTTCAATGGACATTCATATGAAATATGCATGTCAATAAAAGGCGTAGGCATGTTTTTGAATTTCGTTTACGTTAGTTTTTAGCTTTTTAGTCTCCAACTCTCCATTGAAATACGCTTTGCATTGGTCAAGGTTAAACGTATTTAGTACATTTATAATTGAAGAAATTAACTAAAGTGTAAATAATTATTCAAAGTAGGTTTAATTTCTAGTGTTAATAATAACAGTGTGAACAGTATAGTGTTTAGTGGTATTTAAGTGGTTAAAAGTCATCTGCGAAGAGAACATCCTTCGTCGTTTACCACTTAGCGAATCAACGTAGAACGACAAGTAGTTTTTATTGACGTAAACTATTCATCGATCATGTTCTGTTGACAGCATAAACTAGTCGAAAAAAACTGTTTTATAAACTAGTTTATCGTTGACGATAAACAGTCTCGTTTCGTCGACTGTAAATACGTTGACGACCCATTTCTACTCGGGACGAGCATGTCTTAGGAGGGGACAGTATTGCGCGCCTAAGTTGACGTCATGTACCTGGCACTAGCGCCATCTAGTGTCGGGTACGAGAGCGAGGAGGGCTTCCTAAAAAATGTCAATCTTGACTTTCGACCAACAACGCCATCTAGTATCGAACTGAAGAATTAAGCTTTCTGGAAGCCCCACACTCGAACTTTCTGCGCCTGGTCGGTTGGCGCGCGTATTTACTTGAATATTGAGTATGTTTCGGTGAAAAATGTGTATTTAAAGGCGCTGCAAGATGCGATCGGGGCAGTATTGAATTTGGCGATACAAGCGAAGCTTCGGAGCGAAATAAAGTGAATCAGTGTGATTAATTATTAGTGTTTTTAGTTTTAATTGGTGTAAAGAAAATTAAAGTGTAAATTTTGGTAATTCAATCGGCAGTTTTTATTGTCACGAACCTCAAGCTCGTAACAATACGATAATAAAACAAAAAGGAATTTTAAAATTGTAAATATTGTTCTCTTCAGTGACAGATCAACAGGCACAAGTCCCACCAGGACTGAAAGCAGTGATCTGATATCGTTCTCAAGCCCTACGAGTAAATCCGCTCCGAAGGAACCCCATGCTTCGCTCAAAGAATACATTGAACAAATTAGCAAGTGAGTTTTCATTATTTTGTTTATTAATAATTTAGAATGGTTTTATTGGTGTAATCTAATACAGACAAAACCGCGGTTTGTTTTTGATTTGAATAATTTAATTTTATTATGTTGCAGATTAGGACTGCAAACCGAAGACATAAATATTAATACGCCAGAAACACCTCCAACCATGAACAACCATCCATACAATCAGAGACCAGCACACCCATATGGCCCGCAGTACCCTTATAACTATCAGCAACCGTATACCCCAATGCCATCATATCCAACTGCTTCACCGTATGGAATGCCAATGCCTTTACCTACTCCAGCTCCAAATTTACCAAATTATTCGTATTACGCGCCGTCCATTGTAGCTTCACAAGCCCCTACAACACCCTATGTCGCAACTAATCCACCAATGTATGCTCCAACGATACCGTACAGTCAAACAAGGATGGCCTCTCCTGCTCCATATATCGGGTATCCTCCTCCCCCTAATCATCCGCCTTCATACAACTATAATACAACGAATATGATAACCAGGCCAACAAGACCTGTCAGCTTATATCCACAACTCAGTCAACTGCACATGTACCCGCCATTGCCGACTAGTTCTCCTGTGGTTCAAAATGTTAACAATAACAATACAAGCACACAGACTGTTGTGAATGCTGAACCGTCAAGGGACAGTGTGGAAAGCAATGCCTCGAAAAAGTCTTCCGAAGTCAGTATTGGAGTAAGTATTTGTTGTTCTGCACCTTTATTGTTACATGTATGTTCTTCATATTCCCTCTTGTTTTTAGATTTTTGTTATTATTAGCCGCGCGCAGAAAATTTGCCGTTGACTACCCCTCTCGCCTCCATCGACCACGTCCCGCGGTCGTCTTGTTAGTACCGTTAACAACGCAGTCGTGCGTTCACTTGTGCAACGCGGTAAATTTATTGCTCTCGCTTCGAAATTATTCATTATTTTCTTGTTAAGTTTTTGTTTGTTTTATGTTAGTTTTATTTTTTATCAAATTGAGTAAAGGGAAAGCCTATCGCGGTGGCGAATGTTTTATTATTTTAAAGTTTCTAACGTTTTTCAAGAAGGAAAAACAAAAAGGTTAGCCTATAATAAATTTTAGTAACAACGCCAACGTTATTTCATTAATAATATTTCCTTTATTGATTTTTTGCATTTGCAACCACTATTTTAGTAAGATGTATTTTTGTCAACCGTACTAACCATAGACACGTGACGTCGTAACTTTGAACTTTCTGCGCGCGGTTAATACATTTGTATGGACTTAGTAAGGACTTAACGCCGCCCGAATATCCTCTTAATTACTTATAATTGTCCAAACGGAATTTGTATGAAATTGTATACACTAATAGTTTAGATTCAGATTTAGATTAACACATGGGATACTTTAAACAAAGGGAATAAGAAATATTGCTAGAAAAACATACATGAGTACGTTTTTCTAGCAATGTACAAACAACTATTTTCATTTTCACAAGTCGCGGGCACAAGCTAAAATAAATAATTATTAACTTAAAAAAACAGTCACACAAACTATTCAACTTATTGCGATTTTCCCAGTCGAACGAGTCAAACGATAGTATCGGCAGTCTGCCGAAATCGCAGAATCTGATCGACTTCGGAGGCCGGCTAGCAAAGGGTGCAGGTAGCGTAAGAGTCAGTGTGCTAGAGGCATTTGATCCGCTTCTAACTGATCAGCCTAATTCCGGTGAGTGGCTTGTGTTTCATTCATGTTCTCGCACTGTGATGGCTAATTTTCAAAAAAACTCATCATCATTCATCATTACCTGCCATGCATCATTACAGCCGATCAAACGTCCGCTGCCGAACATTGGCCTCCCTCAAAGATACCTTTACTAAGCTTGGCAAGTGGGTTGGCAACCGCAGTTTTATTATTTTGGCGGTGGCGGCTTATGGGGTAACCCATGGGTATCGTAAGAGGCGACAGAGTGAAATGAACCAGGAGGTGGGCAGCAGTAAGTTTCTGCCTTTGACATGAATCTGTATTTGACAATCCGCCTGCCAAGCGTGGCAGCTATAGCAAAATCCTATGCATAAGACAATCTATGGGGGAGGCCTATGTTCAGCAGTAGACTTTTATGGGGTCCAATGAATGATGAATGGATAGAATAGAAACGCATTAGCTGGTGTATGGCAGATCTAAAATATGCATCTTTCTGGATCTTTAGAATTTTGTTATTTCTTTTAGTTGACTTTTACAATATTGTACATAATTCAATTATATACTAGAAGACCCTTTTTACGGTCCGGAAAAAAATAGGGTGTAACGTGTGAACGGAGTAGAAGCCTATGGCACTGATGTTTTACAAAAGATTAAAGCAAAAATTTTGAATTAAATGAATAAATTTATTAAAATCTATCGAAATTTAAATCATATCCACCCTCCTTTTCAAACGGCAATAAAACAATAAATTTAGTAGGCATCTTTGACCTTGTCACTTCGCAGGGTTAAAGGCTCAAGGGCAAATGGCAAAGTAATTGTTCAAAAAAAATTCAAACATTTAATTAAATTTTTTTTTGTAAAATATCAGTGTCGTAGGCTTCTACTCCGTTCACATGTTATACCCTATTTTTTCCAGACGGTAAAAAGGGTCATCCAGTATATACAAATTCAATAATTCTGCCATCGCATAAAATGTTATGTACTGTCTTAAATTTGCCATCACAGGTTTACATTGATAGATTACATTGTTATGGAAAATACAAGTTCTTCTCATATCATTTTATCATGCATGTGTTCATACAAACACTGCTCGTGGGTTTTTGATTTGTGTGACTATAAAAATGTATGTTTGCTAATGCTAAAATTTTTATTTAGTGTTTAATTTTCCTTCAATATTACATTTTTTTTTTAACTTTATCTAATTGTAATTTTTTAAATAAAATAAGAGATAATATTTTTATTCAATATAGATCACATCAAATTTTTATTGAGTAATTTTTTACTTTACTACTGGTTTGACAAAAATTTCGCTTTGTAAGAACCAGCAAGAAACCAAATGAGTCCTTTTTTTAAACTATATTTTACAATATGAAAGGTTGTACAAACTACAAAATTTATTTTAGAAACACCTTGAAAGCGATCACCAAATTTCCAGGGGCCAATATAATATAATATAACCATGTATAATTTATATTTTAATAACCCTTTTTATACAGTTTTTGTTTAATAAAATATTTACAATCTAAACTAGTATGGTTATTTTTAGCTGCAGTTTTGCTTGTCATCTAATTTAGGACTAGTTCATGGAGTTTTATAATCAATAACAATGTTTTAACACAACTTTTTAAAAGTTAGAATCTTACACTTAATCTTATCTTGTCCGCATTACCATATATTATGATGAGATAGTTCTTATCATCTATAATAAGGAAGTATCTATTGGCTGATGTAGTTTTTAGTTTCAGAAGATTGAGTAGGTCTTTGTATTTTTTCGGTTTTATTAATAATTTATGGTAAAACATGGTGCACGGAGATTACCGCATACTCGTAGATACATTTCCCACAAAGGAAGGTCTTAGGTAAATGAATTTTATTCTTGCTTATATTAATATAATTTGTTTGTTTTGGTTTTTTGTTATGGTTTTTTAAAATAAATTCACAATTAGCTTGTAAATTGCATTTGCACTCATACCTAATTGTGTTTGTTTCCAGAATACATGGCGCCTAGTGAATGTTCCAGCAGCGTGTACGAAGAGTACGACCCGTTAGACTTTTTGTACGGCGAGACAGAGATGCGCGATGCTCCTGTGTACGCGACAGTGAGCAAGCGAGAAAGTACTATGCTGCCGTCCCCTCCGCCTAAGTCAATACCTACCATGCCAACTGTCCCTAAGAGGCCTACTACGGTAAAAATTGTTTTCTTAGTTGTCTTTAAGAATGTTCTGTGACTTGGATATATAGATCTATTAGAGTGTAAGCAATATAGTTGAATGATACTTATACTAAATAGATGCATTATTTTTTCTCTTTTCAGTACAGATTTTTTTTTTCTATTTTTATTGTATGTGTGTACATAAACTATTAAATAAAACATTATTTATTTCAGAATAAACTTTATGACTGTATTGTAAGAACCAGAAACAAAAATTATGACAGTGAGCACAAAGCTTTTTTGAAATTGGTACAAGATGTCAGAAGTAAGTTAAAAATACACTTTTATTTTATACTTACTTATTTTCAACTGTATATTATGTAAAATGGTAATATGGTAAAGGAATGGTATGGTAAAAAAAATATCGAAATACCCACCGGGACACTGACAGTACCAACGGTTGTGTGTACAAAGAAGTTTTATACCTAAAATTAAAGAAATGTACGAATGGATGGAATGGAAACGCATTAGCTGTTATATGGTGGCTCATACACTTCATTAGGAAAACACGCCTAGAAGATGTTCATAAAACCAAGTTTTTTATGAGTGTGCCTTTTGATTTGTTTCAATATTCACTGAAAACCTAAATTAAGGAATATTACACACTTCATTAGGAAGACACGATGTCTGCGTCGCTTGCGCTCAGAACACACATTACGTAACAGGACGACGTAAAATTAAAATATTGAAATACTTAAGTTTACAGTGTTGACGTTGAAATAACCATAGTAAAAATATGAAGGGACTGGGTGTTGACCTAAAGTAACAGGTAAACATATGAAAAATATAGCGTAATGTAGTAAGTATCTACCGACCGCCACGAGCGCGGGGAAGTGTGGGCGTAATTATAATTTAAGCTGAGGTTGTATAATTTCTTAATGGAAATACTGCTTTGTGAGCTATCAAAATTTCATTTTCCACAGAATTTGTATAAAAATACCAGTATAAATAAGTTGTCACTGATGTTGAAATGTCATGTTTTTATGTTTCTATTTTCAGAAAAGTTTGTCTTTTCGGATGAAAAAACTAACCCGGGTCATGTGATAGCAGCGCGTTCTGGCGGTAAATACCCGCCTAACACCAGTATCAAAGTACTGGTGTATAACGCGCACGCGGACGAGCCCATTACCTTCACCTCTGATGGTCAGTGCTCGTTTATTATCTTTGGTACCTAAAGTACATTGAATCAATAGTTTGATAATGTTATTGTTCATTATTAGAATCATTTTACTCCTTCACATGAGATTTTGAAATCCCATAGAATACTATAATACATACATAATAGAACGGGGGAGTGGGCGGAGCCCGCTTAGCCACTAAAATGTCACTAACACGTCAATTCACACGTATAAATGTCAACACCAGATGTGTTTTAACATTACAATCGTTTCCAAATTTCGCATGCAAACTATTTGGAAAATGCCAAATTGCACCCTATTTACTAATAAATATGTATTAAAATTTAATGATGATCTTGAACATTAATCACAAGTCTAAAATGTGTAAATTTACTCAGTCTGTCAACGCAGCGAATCGGGTTTGGCGACGTCAATTCTCGTATAAAATAAAGTTGACAGCCATTCTATCGTGTATTATAATCTATGTGAAATCCTCTCCATGAGAGGATTTCAAATTATCACATTGCATCTCACACTTTGAATGCTGCTCTCCATTGCCAGTCAGTGTTATAAATAATAGTACCCGGAAGACCGAGCTTTGCTAGGTTTTTTAAGTTACATTTACATATACAAATTACATGAATAATAGTTTTTGATCTTATTGACATAATAGAAAAAACTGAACTGGTTATTTGAATAAAAAATCATGAGTGCAATTAATTTAATTAAAATTTTCGTATTTTTAAAAAATACTAAAAAAAGGGCTCGGAATAATAGATTTTCTCACAAAAGAAGGGAACTTGAAAAAAAAAAGGAAAAAAAAGTCGGACCCAAGACGGGACGGACGCGAACCACGGAACTCCGATATCACGTCCGAACAACATCCTATCTAAGCTATTGCGATCGTTGGTAATCTGTCAGAATTTACATTCTTATATTGTAGCAGTTTTTTTATTGCCTGAAAACACGGACAAAAGGACATTTTCTAAAAATAAATCCTAGCTAGATCGATTTATTGCGCCCGAAACTCCCTGGACACTAAATTTTATGAAAATCGTTGGAGTCGTTTCCGAGATCCCGATTATACTATATATATATATATATATATATATATATATGTATATATATATATGTGTATATATATATATATGTGTGTATATATGTATAAGAATTGCTCGTTTAAAGGTATAGGATTGGTAATATTCTATAAAATCCGTTACCATTCGTTATTTTACGTGCGGCTCGAAAAACGGATTTCTGTTGACAGAAAATCAGAGTTGCAAATGATTGTAAAGATAATTGTTCCCTCTGTTAGTTATCTGATACATGAATAAATATGTTATTCGTAATAATGATCCGGTCACCGTAATAACGGAATAAACATATCAATATTTTTTAAGTAGAGTAGACGGTGGTTTCTATGAGACACGCAAATATTAAACATTATCTTAATTATTACTAATTCGTATATATATATATATATATATATATATATATATATATATATATATATATATATATATATATAAATACAGATGTTATATAATTAATATACAGACATATATAAATAGCGCAAGCCTAAAAATTTCCATCGAAGTACGAAACATTTGGCTGATACTGTGGTAGAGTCAGTCCAGTCGGGCGATTTCATAAAACCCACTCAGTTCCGAGAGACATACATTAAACAATAAATCAATTTTAATTACTGTGATATGAATGAGAACTTTTTAAGTTGAAATATTAAATGTAGATATAGTGTAAAGCTCTACAGGCAACTAAAGCCATTAAGATGCGACAACAATCTTACACCAATTGTTTATTTCAGTCGAATCAACTGTGGAACATGTGATACTTACCGTAGTGTGTTCTCTCGATGAGGATATAAGGGACGATATGTCGGGATATATGTTGCGAGTGAGTATACAATACTAAATAAACTTAATTTATTTAAACTATGTACTGATTGTCCCTGATGCGTGTTCGTTGTCGCACAATAGTTTGATGTAATTCAATCTATTGTAAAATATTTATTATTTATGAAATATTTTTATTTTTTCTTAGGTATGGGGTGCAAAGGAATACTTGACTCCGGGTAGTTCCCTCAGCGAGTACGATTACATCCGCGAGTGTGTACGCTTAGAGAAAGATGTGCGTCTCTATTTGCACGAGGGCGGAGACAACGCACTGGCGAGAAGTGAAAGGGACGACGCGAGAGATTCCCATCTTACTCTCGACGATCTTATTTCGTCGCAGGGAGCTACGCTTACTTTCGATAACCTGTCTATATTACTCGGTGAGGAAAGTATTTTAAAGGAAAACTTATTCTTAAAATAATCGTCTAGACTCTAGACTGATCGTAATGAGAGTTGAAAAAAAAGTAAGACGAGCTTGTTAGACTGCGCTATACAAAGTCATTTATTTCGCTATAGACGTCAGCTTTGACTTCTAGCATCTAACATAAACAAAAAAATGCAGATCTGTAACAGTGGTCTTTGGACAATTAATTAAAAAGTGAAAATAAAAACTATGTGAGGTATGGAAAGATATTTAAAACAAAATTGAAAACCTACTAATTTAATGTACACCTAATATAACACTTATAGTTTTTGTCAATGGTGTTAAAAAAGAAAACAGTTAAGAATAGATTTGACATCAAAACTAGGCTAGAAATAAAGTTTTAGAATCTTTTTAGTGTAAATTTGCACACCAAAAATTAATGTTCAATTAGTTTTTTACCTCCCTTATATTTTATGAGATAATTATCAAAAACTATTTTATCAGTTTTTTTTATTTCTTAAACAAAGTCCATGATTTTTAAGATATAATACAGCCTAGATCACTCCTGGCATTGCTCTTTATCTGTTTCTGAAGCGTGAACTCAATTGATTTTTCTACCGACAGATTGATAAAATTTAAAAAACGGTTAACCGTGTCTGAATAGCATGCAAAATAAAACCCGGAGCTTAAGGACGCGTTTACAAAATGGATAGGTATAGAATCGCACTACTACATTGACAAAAGTCACACACACACTAGTGTACGCACGGTTGGCTGTGGGAATCGTAGTCAAATGAAATTATTTTGATAATTTGAAAGATTGAATTTGTTTTTCATTTCTTATACCTACCTCAGAAATATACTTCGATACGAAATATGAATACCTGCTCCAAAGACTGCTTGGCACTGGAAGCCCTCTACTGGTAGTGAGATGTTAGCTCTGGACTTTGAACTGGTTTTGTCAGTTATAATAAGACCTTACCTACCTGCGGACTTGATGGAGTGACCTGAAGGTGTAATTTGGTGATTACAACAATAGGAACTCCTAGACTAGTGGAACTAGGTGTGCCGAGTTTGGGTTCGTTTTGTTGGTTATGATGAGACCTTACCACCGGACTTGATGGAGTGACCTGAAGGTGTAATTCGGTGATTACAAGTGGAACTCCTAGACTAGTAGAACTAGGTGTGCCGAGTTTGGGTTCGTTTTGTTAGTTATGATGAGACCTTACCACCAGACTTGATGGAGTGACCTGAAGGGGTAATTCAGTAACTACTGCTGGAATTTCTGAACGAGTAGAACTAGATGTGCCGAATTTGGGCTCCGTTTTGTTAGTTATGACGAGTCCATACCTCCGGACTTGATGGAGTGACCTGAAGGTGTAAATCGGTGATTGCAACTGGAACTCCTAGACTGGTGGAACTAGGTGTGCCGAGTTTGGGTTCGTTTTGTAGGTTATGATGAGACCTTACCACCGGACATGATGGAGTGACCTGAAGGTATAGTTCGGTGATTACAAGTGGAACTTCTAGACTTGTAGGATTAGGTGTGCCGAGTTTGGGTTCGTTTTGTTAGTTATGATGAGACCTTACCACCAGACTTGATGGAGTGACCTGAAGGGGTAATTCAGTAACTACTGCTGGAATTTCTGAACCAGTAGAACTAGGTGTGCCGAATTTCACTCCATCAAGTCCGGTGGTAAGGTCTTATCGTAACTAACAAAACGAAACCAAACTCGTCACACCTAGTTCTACTAGTCTAGGAATTCCATTTGTAACCACCTGATTACACCTTCAGGTCACTCAATCAAGTCCGGTGGTAAGGTCTCATCGTAACTAACAAAACGAACCCAAACTCGGCATACCTAGTTCTACAAGTCTAGGAGTTCCACTTGTAATCACTGAACTACACCTTCAGGTCACTCCATCAAGTCCGGAGGTATGACTCGTCATAACTAACAAAAACGAAGCCCAAATTCGGCACACCTAGTTCTACTCGTTCAGAAATTCCAGCAGTAGTTACTGAATTACCCCTTCAGGTCACTCTATCAAGTCCGGTGGTAAGGTCTCATCGTAACTAACAAAACGAACCCAAACTCGTCACACCTAGTTCTACTAGTCTAGGAATTCCATTTGTAACCACCTGATTACACCTTCAGGTCACTCAATCAAGTCCGGTGGTAAGGTCTCATCGTAACTAACAAAACGAACCCAAACTCGGCACACCTAGTTCTACAAGTCTAGGAGTTCCACTTGTAATCACTGAACTACACCTTCAGGTCACTCCATCAAGTCCGGAGGTATGGACTCGTCATAACTAACAAAACGAAGCCCAAATTCGGCACACCTAGTTCTACTCGTTCAGAAATTCCAGCAGTAGTTACTGAATTACCCCTTCAGGTCACTCTATCAAGTCCGGTGGTAAGGTCTCATCGTAACTAACAAAACGAACCCAAACTCGGCACACCTAGTTCTACCAGTCTAGGAGTTCCAGTTGCAATCACCGATTTAGACCTTCAGGTCACTCCATCAAGTCCAGAGGTATAGACTCGTCATAACTAACAAAACGGAGCCCAAATTCGTCACCCCTAGTTTTACTCTGCAAGAAGTTCAAATAGCGGTCACGAAAGTACACCTTCAGGTCATGCCATCAAGTCCAGAGGTAAGGTCTCATCATAACCAACAAAACGAGTCCAAACTCTGCACACCTAGTTCCGCTCGTCCACGAGTTGCAGTAGTAGGTAAGTTTATATATCCTACTTATTTTTAGCTAAATAAAAACTGTGAGTATAAAAATAATAATTTTATCACTTGTCAAGTACTTATGTTTCCAATTTGTTTTTTTCTAATATTTTGTGTATGTACAGCGATCTTTTCAGAATGAGCCGCTGCAAACAGGCGATACAGTGTCCACTCACGACGGCGGCCGAGCGCGGACTGTGGTTTCATCGAAATCTTTGTACAATAAATCAAAGCAGGCACCAACAATAAAATAGCCCTTATTGCAATACATTATGATTCATCCATATTACCAAAATATGTGAAAAAATGTGCATCAGTTTTTATTTTTTTTACGACTATTTGTGACATTTTGTTAAAAAATAAACCCAGGGTTTTTTAATTGAATATGTCTGTCATCTTATAGTATTTTTTAAATTTTTAAATATGTTGATAATAGACCAAAACATCTACCGAAACACAAGCCGGTATCGTTAATTTTGTAGAAAATGGCAACGAAAGTTCGTTTTTACAATATAAAAAACTACTATTTTCAACAAAAGAGTTACAGACATTTGCAGATGAAGAACCAATCTATACATGGTAGTTTTTACTTATATTTGATTTGGTTTAGTTTTGTCACAAAATCTACCGAAAAAACACCCTAATTTTGGTTGATTTGCAAACGCGTCCTTAATAGAAGTTAGTTATTCCGATATTGCAGTCATATACTTCAATTTTGAATTATATAAAAATTATGTTAAATTCAATAAACAGACAATTTATTTGCGTTAGGCGTATTACTTCTGGGAGATAATTTTCCTGTGATTCGAATAATCTTTCAAAGTTATAATAATTTAATTTTAAGAAAGAGTCTTAGCGAGCAAAGTGTGAAGTGATGGCTAAGATTAATTTGATTTCGAAGACTTTTGGGTTTTCTCTTATTCTGTAGTAGCGCGTAAATTTAGGTACTTTTATCACAATATCACACACCAGCCTCATCAGCCTTGAAAGTCTGCTGCATCACAAAAGCCTTACTAAAATGACACTTGTTGAACGGATGGATGAGCGCAGTCTCGTACTGTGTTTTATACGTGATAGAGCCGTGCTGCAGCTATATTATGGTTGTAGCACGAAATGGTCGAATCGACCGGGGAAGGACCACGCTCTCACAGAATACCAGCGTAAAATAGCAGCTTGATGCCGCTGTGTTTCGTATGGTGAGTGTGGAGAACCTGTCTATCGCAGTAGCAGACGTTTGGCACCTTTGACACTGATCCCCATCGTCGGTGAGGGTGGAATTCATTTTCAAGTCACCACATGACTTATTCGCCTAACATCATCTCAAATATAAAATAACTCAATGTTTTAAAAACAAATATTTTAGTTTTAGCAATAATTATACTAGTATAAATATAAAATACCGTTATATTTTAAAAACAAATATTTTAGTTTTAGCAATAATTATACTAGTATAAATATAAAATACCGTAATATTTTAAAAACAAATATTTTATTTTTAGCTATAATCATACTAGCATAGATATAAAATAGGTACCGTAATATTTTAAAAACAAATATTTTAGTTTTAGCTATAATCATACTAGCATAGATATAAAATACCGTAATATTTTAAAAACAAATATTTTAGTTTTAGCAATAATTATACTAGTATAGATATAAAATAACGTAATATTTTGAAAACAAATATTTTAGTTTTAGAAATAATTATACTGGTATAAATATAAAATACCGTTATATTTTAAAAACAAATATTTTAGTTTTAGCAATAATTATACTAGTATAAATATAAAATACCATTATATTTTAAAAACAAATATTTTAGTTTTAGCAGTAATTATACCAGTATAAATATAAAATACCGTAATATTTAAAAAAATATTTTAGTTTTATCAATAATCATACTAGCATAAATTAATATAAAATACCGTTCGAGGCATGCCTTTTAAGTTTTGTCAATAGACCAAAAATACACCTAGAACCTTATAGTAATTTTTATTGTTTTTCAAGGTACTCACCACGTACTTATGTGTAATACACTTCTCGATTCACTCGAACCAGTTATTAAAACGTTTATTCCACTCCAAAGTGGGGGTGTTCAATATGGCTGTTTTGAAAGCGTCGACTGCTTCTTCACCGGACTGGAACCTTTGACCACGAAGATTTTTCTTAATTTTAGAAAATGGAAACAAAATTGTTAGAGCTTGAGTCAGGATTGTATTGAGGATGATCAAGAATTTCTAAACTTTCCTGCTTCATTCATTCATACTCAATCGTTTGACCAGCGGTGTTTGAGCTTGCGTTGTCATGCTGTAGGATGATGCGTCGCTTCGGGTTAGATTTCCGATGTTCAGCGATGACTTGTAGTAAACAAACTGGTATACCACTCTGCATTAACCGTTCTACGATCTTCAAGTGTAATCGTCTCAACATAGCCGGTTTTCGCAATGATGTTCGTTTTTGGTCACTATTTTCTTTGAAGTGCTACAAAAGTGAACAATTTTAGTCGGCTTGGGCTCGTCTTCCAAGACTCTGATTGGAGATTGTTGTTTAGAATCGGCATCATAGGCATAGATCCAAGATTCGTCACCACTGTTGATGTCGTAGACGTGATTTGACTCTCCTCGATTGAACCTTTGAAGAATTTTCTTACAAGATCTGACGCGGGTCGCCTTATAATCGTTGGAAAGCAACTAGGGGATCCAACGTTAAATTAGCTTTCTCAAATCAAGCGCTTCATGCAAGATCTTACGAATGGTTGTCCCTGAGATCCCTAATAACGTCTCTATCTCTCGATATGTCACATGACGATTTTCGAGAATTAGTTTTCTCACAGCAACAATGTTATCTTCGGTGAAGGCGAATTTTGGATGTACTTCATAAGAGTTGTCAGCTAAGATTGATATATCAACGCTGGAGCTCTCAATTACCAGCGTTCGACAGTCTTCAGACAGGTGGCATCATCATGGAACAGAGAAGTTAGCTCTTCGAAACACTGATGCCGTGTTTAGACCTCTTCTAAAGTTGTAGAAATTATTGCACGAATATTTTCCTTCATAACATTCATTTTGATACGTGACCTGATAGATTCAAAACGACTCTGTGACTAAACAATAGCATTAATCCTCATACTTTCAATTGTTTTGAGATTCTGGCTTTAAACAAATTTGAATATTGAACAGTTCCAAATTCAAAATTGCCGGTAAATATGTAAACGACAGAACTTAAAAGGCATGCTTCGTCATATTTTTAAAACAAATATTTTAGTTTTAGCAATTACTAGCATAAATATAAAATACCGTAATAATTTAAAGACAAATATTTTGCATCTATATGCAATTACATAGGTCATCCTTCATAATAATCTATCTTTCTTTCATCCAAAGAGACATTGGAGGGAGAACTATCACGGGTTGTGGGAGTGGTTGGAGCTGAAGGCAGCTGTTCCCCCAAAGCCGTATTTCAGGCTGTAAAAGCCATTTGTGCATTGGCTGGCGGTGTGGAGACCTTACACGTGACGTACACGCTAAACGCGTTCGCACAAGCTTGTACTGCGCAGGTAATTTTTTAGTTTTTTTTAAATTCCCCTTTTGCAAATTGTTGATGGGAATTACTATTCGTGAGGTTAAAGAATGGGATTGAAAATGGCGGCGCCTCTATTCACCTTTCGCTCGCACACTGTTGCTATCTATACACACACCCGCCAGTATAGACTGAAAAAAATTTCTTTGCGATATGTCTTTTTCGTACGTTCTGTAACAACAGTCCAACTTGTTATTGGAATTAATAATAACAAAATGCCATAAACCACAAAAATCAGTTCGGTTTTGCCAATTTGTAAGCTAGTATTATCTAATGAAGCATATGGCCTTTCGAAGTCTGGAAAATTGGATAAAACAATATCATAAACTTTATGATTTGTTGATAACATCGCATTAGCATCGCCCTACGCGTGCCTAATTCCCTATGTATGGGCAAGTGTAGGTATCGCTGCGCTGTTGCCGTTTTTCAGGTCACTTCAGGTCAATAAACTCACATTATCCAGGATGATTTATTTCGTGTAATATTTTAAGCTATTTATTCTGTTTGAAAAATGCACTTTTTTATTTTTTATATTATTGTTTATTTTATTATTTCAACAGACGTATATCAACTTGCATTTACTGCTGCGCTATAAAATGTGATAACCTAATCCCCACCCAGTATATATATATATACTACTCGAATCTCATATTCCTATATAAAATAATAAAATAATTAAAGAAAACAAATCTATATAAAAAATAAGATAAATTATATTCACACAAAAACTTTTATTACAGTTTTATAATAAAACATTATACTAAAACACTAGAAAAATCCAAAAATTAACACAATAACATTCACACGAAAATGGCGTACGAAATGAACGTAGATTATAAATAAATCCATAGACTAACTGACTTTTTATTCCACTAGAGAATAAGATAGGGATAGAAATTTTCATATTAATTCTATAATGCCAAACTTCTTCATAGAAAAGTAGTCTCTAAACATAAGTTTTTATGGCTGAAAGTGCTGTGGGTGGGTGCGGTCACATTTGACCTCTTGAATTTTGACGGAATATCTCCGCGGTCAAATTTGAACGCTTGGTAGCTAAAAGGTTAAAGTCTCTTTATAGGGACCCTAGTGCTTGTGATAGGATCAACGGGGTCTACTCAGACTGGTTTGGCATCCATAAAGATATCAGGCTTCCCCGTGGCTGTTGAACCTATTTATGGACAGTTCTTTAGAAAATTTTAAAGATGAAGAATGCGGATTAAAAATGAGTGAGTTAACTGTCAAATGCCTTTTTTTACGCTGATGATCAAGTTATTCTTGCGTCGTCGACGGCCGAGTTGCAAATGATGGTTAAATTAATGAACAGATCATTCAAAGAAAGGGGTTTAGGAGCTGACTCCTTATGGGTGCCTATTGGTGACCATAATGAAAGATTAAATCTTTTACTAATATATTTATTATAGCGGAACGTGCCATACAGTTGGCGGGCAACTAGTGACTGGTTGAAAAATCTTATTCACTACATAATATAGTTACAATACAACATTGCGAAGGTTACATGTGCGCAGCACACCTACAATACTTCCCCCTTTACAAAAAATGAATACAAAAAACTTAAAACTATACAATGAATATAAACTTAAAACTAACAACAAAAACTTGCTAATGCGCTTGTGCGCAGGGCTGTACGGAGACCCCCGCGAAAGGGGTGGCGGCCGCGGCGGGCGCGGGCACATGCTGCAGACTGGTGCTAGAAGCACCTATCATCTGACCCATATTCTGGCCCGATATCGGAACGCCTGTCATTAACACCTGATGACGAAGCCAGCTTTTGAACTTCTTATTAAACTTTACCCAAATAGTGTACAGGATTATCGCCCCCATAAAACTGGCTATCACATATAACCATGTTTGAAAATTATCCACTTTATTCTCTACAGTATTTTGAGCCTGAGAAACAATAACTGGTTTTTCTTGAAAATTACCCATAGTAAAAATCGTAAAACTTATCGCGCTAATGCTATCGCAAAGGAAGTATTTCGAATGAAATTATATTAAATACATTATAACTAAACTAGCTACCTGGAACCTATATGAAAGTGCAGTATACGCAAAATACTGAACACGATACCTCTACAATTACATTCAACTTAAATAATGTAACTTGAATATCCGGAATGAAAATATTATGCACTTGACAATGCAAATAATACTTTCACATCCATAGTAACTAAACCTGATTATCATTTAGACATGTAATTGTATAATATATATTTTATATTAACACTAGCTTATAAATCGTGAAGGTAACTTAACAATCCGACCACTTCGCGATGTTTTCACGGTTATCGGGTTGCTCGGGCCGGGTAACAACGACGTCAGCGGTGTGGACGGTGGTAACGGAAACCGTACATGCGCAGGTGCCACATCCGCTGCGTTGTCAGCGTTACTTTGGCGTGGCGTTGCTTCGTTACCATCACATTCCTTTAATACATATGCAGGCTTTAATCTGTCGATAGAAATATGTACCTGTCTATCGGGTAATTGAATTAGGTAAACTTTTGAGCCCCTTTTTTATCACGCGGTATGGACCGTCGTAGGGTGGTTTCAAAGGTTTACGTATTGAATCGTCCCTAACAAAGACATATTCACAGTTACGTAAGTCCTTGTGCACAAAAAAAACTATGACAGTTACGTGAATCGTCGGATGTAGGCTTATAACTACGAATAGTATCTCTAATCTTATCCACTAAACAATAATCATTGACGTTACGGTTGTTCGAAGAGCCGTCATAAAAGTCTCCCGGTAGACGTAAGTTTCGTCCGAACGTTAACTCGGCGGCGCTAACCCCTGAGTCACTGCGGGCGGCCGCGCGAAGCCCAAGTAATACTGTGGGTAGCTCTTCCACCCAGGACCCATGTGACAGGCGAGCTGAAAGTGCTGTTTTTAAAGAACGATGCCAACGTTCAACTGCGCCATTGCTTTGCGGATGATAAGGAGTAGTTCGAATTCTATTAACCCCCAACATTTTTAACAGCTGGTTAAAAAGACTACTCAAACTGGCGACCTTGGTCGCTAGTTAACTTTATCGGGCAACCGTAACGACAAATCCAACCTTCATATAAATGTTTGGCAACAGTTTCTGCCGTAATGTCTCGTAACGGAAAAGCTTTAGGCCACCTGGTCCTCCTATCGATTATCGTGAGTAAGTATCTATAACCATCTGGTGAGATCTCAAGAGGGCCAACGATATCGACGTGCACATGCTCAAAACGCTCTACTTCCGGAAACTTAGTCAGATTCGATACCGTATGTCTGTTAACTTTAGAACGTTGACATTGTATGCACGTTTTTGCCCACAAAGAAACATCACGATTCATACTAGGCCAGAAATACTTTTTGGCTAACATCTTTCGCGTAGAACGAATTCCAGGATGGCTCAAATTATGTAAACTATCAAAAGCTAGGCGTCGAAACTTTTCCGGTAGGTACGGACGAGCTGTATCAGTAGACATCTCACAAAAAATAGACTTATTTAACATAGGTATAACTAGTTCCTTTAACAAAATATTATCGGTATTTAAACCAGACATAACATTCATGATATAACTGTCGCTACGCTGCTCATTTGCAATGTCATCGAAATTCAACGCAGTTGGCATAGTCACGGCTTCGATGCGCGATAAGGTGTCAGCTACGATGTTATTCGTACCGGTTATATGTCTTATATTTGTAGTGAACTCACTTATGAAAGCTAAATGTCTCGTTCTCCGAGGCGTTTCGCTTTCATCGCGTCCTACCTTTTGAAATGCAAAAGTTAAAGGTTTATGGTCCGTATACACGGTTATTTCTTGCCCTTCAAATAATTTCCGAAAATGTTTTATAGCTAAGTATATAGCGAGCAACTCGCGATCGTATGTGCTATATCGCTGTTGGGTGGTGGTCAATTTTTTTGAGAAATAGCCCAATGGTTTCCAGCTATCTCCTTCCTTTTGTTGCAAGACTGCTCCCACGCATGTATTAGATGCATCAGTCGTTAAAGCGAGTGCGGAACCCACTCTAGGGTACGTCAATGTAGCGGCCTGTGTGAGACCTGCCTTACATTGCGTAAATGCTTCGTTCGCACTATCCGTCCAGACGATGGGAGTCTTATCATTTTTCTTTGAGCTTTTAAGATATTTATTTAATTCTGTTAGATATAAAGTTGCGTTGGGAAGATGAGCTCGATAAAAATTGACCATACCGAGAAAACGTCTTAGTTCTGCAACAGTTTTCGGCTTCGAAAATTCCACAATTGCCTGAACCTTATCTTGCAACGGCCTGACGCCGTCGGTACTAATCTCGTGTCCTAAAAATTCTAGTTTAGTTTGTCCGAAACGACATTTTGCCAAATTAATTGAAATTCCATATTTATTAAGCCTTTTAAAAATAATTTCTAAATGTTGCCTGTGTTGAACTTCGTTGTCACTAGCTATAAGTAAGTCGTCTAAATAACAAAAAACAAAATCAAGACCTTGTAAAATGGAGTTCATAAAGCGCTGGAAGGTTTGTGCTGCTCCGCGCAAACCGAAGGTCATTCGAGGAAACTCGAAAAGTCCGAATGGTGTTATGATAGCGGTTTTCTCCACGTCACCTGGTGCGACAGGTATAAAATGATAACTTCTATTGATGTCTAATTTTGAAAATATCTTTTTATCCGGAAGAATAAAAGTAAAATCGTTCAAGCGAGGAATCGGGTATCTGTCGGGCTTTGTTATCGCATTCAGCTGGCGATAGTCCCCACAAGGTCTTATATCTCCATTCTTTTTAGGAACTACATGGAGCGGACTAGCCCACGCGCTCTTTGAAGGACGACAGATGCCCAGTTCCTGCATGATGCGAAATTCTTCTTTAACTTTTTTATACCTGTCAGGTGGCAACGGGCGCGCTTTCGCGTGCACGGGCGGGCCAGAGGTCTCGATATAGTGGACGACATCGTGTTTCGCAGTTTCTCGGAATAACGCTGGTTTAGTGATGTCCGGATACTTTAACAATAAATCCTGATATGGATGATTTACATCAATAGTTTTAACACTAGGTTGAGATACATTGACAACAGATGCCGAAACATTCAATTCTGTAGTTTTATCTATTAATTTACGCGCGTTTAAATCAACTAATAGTTTGTGGTACGCTAAAAAATCGGCGCCCAAAATTGGTTGTTTGACATCTGCTACAACGAATTCCCAACGATAAGGTCGGCGTAAGTTTAAGTTTAACACTATTGTCTTGGTACCGTAAGTTGCGATTTCATTGCCGTTAGCTGCGTATAATTTATATTCACTACACTGATTTAGACGATCTTTTCTCACGGCTGGTAAAACAGACACATTGGCACCGGTGTCAATTAAAAATCTAAGTCCGGAGTTACTGTCTGACACACACAAACGATTGAATGGAAAAACGGTACAGACCTGAAGACCCTCGGACTGTACCTCGCTGCTCAGTTTTCCGGCTGTGTTGTTTTCCACGCGCAAGGCTTCGTACACCTGTTGGCCTTTTCTCGGAACCTGTAATGGTAAAAGCATAAGTAGTTCTCCTTCCGGGGACGGCAGGGACTGCTACGGCGCCTGGACTGTGAACGACGCCGGTTGCGATCAGGGGCGCGGGACCGCGACCTCTGCTGCTCGATCCGGTCCACGGTAGCCTTTATTTTAGCCACCTCAGCTCTTAACAGGGCCAAGTCATAGGCGGTAGTAGATGCTGGCGCTGGCACGGTGTAAGTAGCGGTGGCGGCATAGGAAGGCCGCACAGCCTCCATGACGTTATCTGCAACTGCTGCTAGGTTGTCCAGGTCCTTGGAGTCGGACACAGTTAGCACGTTAACAGGCGGCACGTTCTGTGGCGTTGGCGGAAACGGCACACTCATGTTACTATATAAATTGTCCTTCCGATCACAACCACGCGAATATTGCCCACTACTGCATTAACATCACATAGACCACTTCGGTCATCTTGATCACGTCGGGGTCACCAGTTTAGGAGCTGACTCCTTATGGGTGCCTATTGGTGACCATAATGAAAGATTAAATCTTTTACTAATATATTTATTATAGCGGAACGTGCCATACAGTTGGCGGGCAACTAGTGACTGGTTGAAAAATCTTATTCACTACATAATATAGTTACAATACAACATTGCGAAGTTTACATGTGTGTGCGCAGCACACCTACAGGGGTATGAAAGTGAACCCAAGTAAGAACGAAAGTTATGGTTTTTGAAAGAGAAGAAAGTAAAATGATATGTGAAATAAGAATAGAAGGTTGATAGAGCAACTATATGAGTTTGTATATGTGGGATGCGTATTTAACAGGGATGGGAGATATTATAAGGATATAGAACTACGAGTGATCGCAAGAAATAGAGTAAATGGGGCCCTGCATTCTATTGTGAAGAGTCAGAATGTGTCAAAAAAGGCACGTATGGCAATTCACAATGCTCTGTTGGTCCTTACTTAACGTATGGTAGTGAAAGTTGGGTGTAGCATAAGAAGCACGAGAGTAGAATAAACGTAGTAGAAATGCGGTCGTTAAGGAGTATGTTAAGTCTGAATTTGTTGAATGACAGGGTGAGAAATTGTGTGATAAGAGAAGAGTGTAGTTTGCAAGATGATGTGACCAGGATTAAGAAATGAATGCTTCGGTGATTTGGTCATGTGGAAAGAATGAATGAGGAAAGAGTGACAAAGAAAATTTATGTTGCAGAATTGAACGGCTGAGTCGGAAAGGGACGTCCTAGGCAAAAGTTTATCGACCAAATTGGCGATATATTGAAAACGGGACAAAATAGGAGTACCCTTACCCGACGAGCGTGTATGCGTAGATATATGGATGTAGAGGAGGCGAGAGAGGTGTGTCAGGATCGTGGCAAATGGTAGTCTGTAGTCTCTGCCTACCCCTCTGGGTGAGAGGCGTGAATGTTTATATTTTTATTTATATTTTATTAATTTTACAATTACGATTGGGTAAAGTTAGCAAAACTTTGCAATTGCGTTTGTAATTATAATAATTTTATTATCATTTTGTACGATAACTTGTTGCCATCTTGTTGGTAGTGATATAACTCCATTGCTGTAGAAATCTTTGGATTTTTGATAAAAAAATTCGACAAGTAGTTTTGACAGTCCTCTCTTGATATTAACCTAACACTATAATAAAGATCTTAATAGTTATTTTGCAACCATCCGCTAAATTAAATAAAATGATGTGTCTTCTCTAGTTTGAAGAGCACCCCCCGCCCTCCCTCAATTGCGTGCACTTATCCCGTCAACACCAATCCCAGCACCACTACTCCCGACACCACTACTCCCGACACCACTACTCCCAACACCACTTTACTAAGAAAGACACACCATCAACGATTATACGACACGTGTTTCGCCTCTACACGAGGCATCTTCAGGTGATGTTGACTCTACGGCGACTGACCGCTAAGTGAGTGAGTTCTTAACTGCTTAACTACTTCATTCTTTACTTTGCTGGTTAGACGAAGCATCGTAGCTTGTGTACCGTATACAATTAAGACTATCATTGGTATTCTTTGAGACTACATATTTCCGAAATGTTTTGCTTGCTCGTGTTTCTCTTTCCCAACCTCAGCCACTTTACTCCGTTCCACATGCTCTACCGTTTGTTTCCACCATTGGCAAAATTGAATATGCTTACAACCGCAGGTTTGGATTGCACTTTTTGAGCCAAACAGCGCTTGTAACGTGTATTATACATCCTCAAAAGATCATAATTTCTAATCCGTTGCTTATAATTTTTGACATGTCTGCATATACACTTACAAGTAGACACATACAATAATTGAATACGCAATATACACACCTTTCTACATACATATAAATAGAGACACGCATATGTATATTTTTACATACAACAACAAATACAGTGTAAACAATGTAAATGTTAAAGCTAAATAACAATTCAATTTAGTCCATAGATAAATTAGTATGGTATGGCACGTATTTTAGAATGGCGGCAACGCGGTAACGCCAGAGATCCAGGCGGAAAGCGGGCCGTACTGTGCGGTGTCGCTGCGCGCGGCAACGGCGCGCGAAGCGGTGGCGCAGCAGTGCGCGCGACTGCGCGACGCCGTGCGCGCGCTGCTGGCGCTGTACACGCGCGCGCGCCTGCTGGACTTCAGTCTGGCCGACGCGCCCGCCGCCGTGCCGTCGCAGCCGCACAGTGAGTACAGTACGGCACAGTGGCACAGTGCGCGCGCTGCTGGACTTCAGCCTGGCCGACGCGCCCGCCGCCGTGCCGTCGCAGCCGCATAGTGAGTACAGTACGGCATAGTGGCACAGTGCGCGCGCTGCTAGCCCTGTACACGCGTGCGCCTGCTGGACTTCAGCCTGGCCGACGCGCCCGCCGCCGTGCCGTCGCAGCAGCATAGTGAGTACAGTACGACATAGTGGCACAGTGCGCGCGCTGCTAGCGCTGTACACGCGCGCGCTTGCTGGACTTCAGCCTGGCCGACGCGCCCGCCGCCGTGCCGTCGCAGCCGCATAGTGGGTACAGTACGGCATAGTGGCACGGTGCGCGCGCTGCTAGCGCTGTACACGCGCGCGCCTGCTGGACTTCAGCCTGGCCGACGCGCCCGCCGCCGTGCCGTCGCAGCCGCATAGTGAGTACAGTACGGCATAGTGGCACATTGCGCGCGCTGCTAGCGCTGTACACGCGTGCGCCTGCTGGACTTCAGCCTGGCCGACGCGCCCGCCGCCGTGCCGTCGCAGCAGCATAGTGAGTACAGTACGGCATAGTGGCACAGTGCGCGCGCTGCTAGCGCTGTACACGCGCGCGCTTGCTGGACTTCAGCCTGGCCGACGCGCCCGCCGCCGTGCCGTCGCAGCCGCATAGTGGGTACAGTACGGCAAGTGGCACGGTGCGCGCGCTGCTAGCGCTGTACACGCGCGCGCTGCTGGACTTCAGCCTGGCCGACGCGCCCGCCGCCGTGCCGTCGCAGCCGCATAGTGAGTACAGTACGGCATAGTGGCACAGTGCGCGCGCTGCTAGCGCTGTACACGCGCGCGCCTGCTGGACTTCAGCCTGGCCGACGCGCCCGCCGCCGTGCCGTCGCAGCCGCATAGTGAGTACAATACGGCACAGTGGCACAGTGCGCGCGCTGCTAGACTTCAGCCTGGCCGACGCGCCCGCCGCCGTGCCGTCGCAGCCGCATAGTGAGTACAGTACGGCACAGTGGCACAGTGCGCGCGCTGCTAGACTTCAGCCTGGCCGACGCGCCCGCCGCCGTGCCCTCGCAGCCTCACAGTGTGTACAGTACGGCACAGTGGCACAGTGCGCGCGCTGCTGGACTTCAGCCTGGCCGACGCGCCCGCCGCCGTGCCGTCGCAGCCGCACAGTGTGTACAGTACGGCACAGTGCTTGACTTCGGCCCACAGTTTTATACTAATGTGTTGCTGTGAATGTTTTGAACGAACTCATTCATAGTCGCCCATTAATTCACCCATAAGCACCTAAAACGTTCAGTTTCGGTGTTCGGAAGTCATCGACATGATCGCATTCGAGACTAACATATTATTTACATTAAGAATTTAATCGTTTGTTTCATCACAGAAGCAGCTCCAGCGCACACAATATCTGAAACAGTGTTATTCTGCATCGAAGCAGTACATTGTTTGCCCCTTTGCTGGAATCACGACGAGTATCTGTTTCACGCCCAAATATACTACGGCACGAGGCCTTTGAAAACTGTGCACGCGACGCAATCTTCCAAGATAGAGTGCGGTGGCTTTTATCCCAGAATAATTTTTGATACTTGGTAAGTGTTGTTTGTTGTTATAACGATGATTTAGTTATGAAGATGTAACTATACAGGATGTTAGTGTAAACACCATTGTCCTTGAAACCAGTGGTTTGGTTTCACTTATAGAACGTAAATTTAATGAATTTAAAAAAAACGCCATTTTCTTTCATAAAATTTAAAAAGTTTCTGTCCGACACCGTCCGTAAATTCATGGATACCCTATGCGCCCGAGGGACGTAATCACTGTAAAAATCACCGCCCGCGCTAGCTACCTACACAACATTCAACATAAAAATACAGTAGGTACACATAACCTGTTATTTAACTTTTCCTTCATACTTTCATCCTGGCTTAGGACTTGTAAAAATTGAGGAATTAAGGAAAAATTGAGATTTTACTAAAAAAATGTTGTTATTTTTCATTGAATTTACGTTCTATAAGTGAAACCAAACCACTGGTTTCAAGGACAACGGTGTTTACACTTACACCCTGTATAGTTCACTATGTAGTGGCGGTGTAGAATATCCACTATCCCATATCGTACCATAAAAATGCGGTTGCAGAGCGTGACAACTATGGCAAATATTAGGGATATTGCCGGAGTTTTGAGAACCGGAGACCCGGAGAAACGAAGCGTTCCGTCTTAGTCCTCAGGAGTGACAACGCATCTGCATTTTGATTCGTAATCGTGGATAGATGTAGATGTCTATGGCCACAGCAACCACTTACCATCAGGTGGACCGTGTGATCGTTTGTAAACCTGCCCAATAAAAAATGGCATATATTATGGCCTGCAAATTCGCCGTACCTTCAAATGTTAGACTTTTATCTGTGAGGTGAAATAAAGAATCATGTTTATGTCAAAGAGGCCCAAACTTATGAAGACCGCAAGAGCAAAATTATTGCTGCATTCACGGCAGTTAAAAATGTTCAAGCACAAGTAATAAGTGTAAAAAATAATTTATGAAACTGTACACATCTGCACGCATGCAACGGCATGCGATGCATGCAAACGGATTTCATTTTGAGGTACCGATATTAGTTATTTCTACTACTTGTGTAATTTAGTTGTAAATAGTTTATTCCAATTTTTTAAGTAGGTCCATAAATAATGACAGTCATCAGTAACTTTGTCAAAAAAACAAAAATATTTTTTTTAATTTATTATGACGATCCTAACGGCCTTATCATACTAGCGGTTTGCGAGCGGCTTCGGGGCGGAGCGGGCACGCAGCGAATACGTCGCAAACACGCCGCGGCTGCGCAGCGACGACGTCACGGACGCTCGGCGGATATGCAACCTTTTGGTAGCGTGTTCGCAGCGTGTTTACGACATACCAGTACACTCACTAACAAAATGGAATCCGACGAGGAAACATTGATGGTTTTATTACTTCGAAGACGCATGAGACGAAAACAACAGAATTTGGTAGGATCCATTATCAAATAATCGACTGAAAGAGAGCGAATACTTTGTGTTTTGCAAAAGAATAAATTATCCAAAAAAAAAATTCGTTCCTACCTGCAAATGTCAAGACCTACATTTTATAAGTTGTTGCATCTGAAACAAACCGACTTAAAGACATGAAGATACACACTTGAGATTATCAGTGTCACCTGAAAAAAGACTTGTTTTTACTACAAGGTATGTTTTAAACATTTGTACGAGAGTGTACAAAATGGCGTCCCCGTTGCTATACTCTGCGATCTCGTTGCGCGTCCAGCGCTAGTATGATAAGGCCGCAAGACCGTTCAAAGTTTGAATGGAAGAAGTATTTTCAAAACTACAATAACGGATAACTATATTTATTTTTATATAATATATATTTGGACTTAAATATAAAGATTAGATAAGACAAGACAAGATGCTTTTTTTGTTTCACTTCACACTTACGTTACTTGCGTGCTTTCTAAGGGGCAATACCTCTAATATTTGCCATAGTTGTCACGCTCTGCAACCGCATTTTTATGGTACGATATGGGATAGTTGATATTCTACACCGCCACTACATAGTGAACTATACACTAAACACAGCAGCATTAAGCTTCTATTTCACGCTGGTATTCTGTGAGAGCGTGGTTGTTCCCTGGTTGAGCCGACCCATTCGTGCTACAACAATACTACTAATATAACTGCAGCACTACCACGTCACAAAGGGTTGCCTACCCAATACCACAGCGACTTCACGTTGAAAAGTACCAGCCTACAGCTTTCACACTGCTCTTAATATCACTTCTCCGGTTAAATGTCAACATTACATTGCTATAAAATTTCAAATTATCACAATCAACCAAGTTGAATCAAAAATATATTTAAGTAGTGACTATCGACAATAAATAAAAAAATAAACAATTATTCTGAGTATAAAATTCGCTCCCTCTAGTTCAACTCAAATTTTACCGCCATCACATTTTATTTTTTCTTTTCCTTAAATTTGGAATCAATCTGAAATAAACGGCGAAGAATTTGTTGAAACATTTTAGTTATACTTTTTAATTGGTCAATTTTATTAAAAATAACCCTATACCGTGTTGATGTGTTTATGTAAAAACAGGATTGGCCCTAATACACTGCACCCCAAAATGAGGATTTTTCAACCGACTTCAAAAAAAAAAAGAGGAGGTTCTCAATTCGACAGTATTTTTTGTATGTGAGTTACTTCAGAACTTTTTTCTATGTGAAACGATTTTTTATTTGAAAGCTGGTGCTTCTCATGTGGTCCCATATAAATTTGATCAAAATATGACCAGTGGTTTTTAGGAGCTATCCTTAATAATGCGTATTTAGTTGACTTTGACTAAATTGATGATGTTCCCATTTTATTTGTATTGAGGTTGGTTGTATACAATTTTTAATTTTACTACTTGATGTTCAGAGCTAATAACCTTATCGATATTTAAACACTCATATCGATTTTCTAAATAGTTCGTTGTAGTCTAAGTTGAAGCTGTATACCTCGAATACCTATGCTGCCTAGTTTCTTATTTAACAGGATTGGCATAGCAACTGTATTAAAAGCTTTTGCTGGGTCAAGAAAAACGCTAATTGATTGGTAGCATATTTATCTAACTCTTGAGAGACGTAATCAGTCATTTCCTGCACAGATCATTTTATAATTTCTAACAGATTCTTCCAGTAAGGTTCTAAAATAATTTATACTTCAACTTTTTAAATAAATTGTTCCAAAAATTCTTATATATTTTATATGAAGTTAGTAAAACGGAATTATCTGAAAAAGATTTTGCCGTCAGGTGGAATTTGCCACTCTGCTTCATGCGCCTAATTAGGCCGGGTGTAATCCATAATATAATTAAGATATTTTCTCTTGTAGGTTAAATCTAGAAGACATTCCAGTTAATACTTTGCCACGAGAATCGCGTTTGGTACTAACTCTTTATGGTCGCACTCAAAGAACTGTGGACAATCAGCATCAAAACAACGAGAACAACCAGCAGAACAGCGAAGGCAACGAAGAGAACGGCGATGTGCAGTATGAACAGGTTGAGCTTGGCTGGGCTTCTATCCAAATGTTCGATTATGATTGGTGAGTTATCTTTAGTGTCTATATTTTTAACGACATAAAGGAGGTTTTTTTTTTAAATTTATTTGATCTTAAAAAGATTTTTGCAGTTTCTCTATCATTTTCAAGTTTGGCTGGCTATATAATTCGAGATTTGACTTTTTTACGATGTCGTTTTTATAATTTTACTTTATACATAAGGTATTATAACACCAATTTAAATTTTTTCTTATCTGTATATAATAAATTCATAAAGTATGAGTTAGAGATAAACGAAGTTATAACGGGAGCTTGACGGCGTTGGATTGCTGCTCCTCAATTATTATTATTTAAATAATGGTTTGAAGTAGATTTTAATACATAAAAGCGATGTGATGTTGAATTAGGGATGATAATACAATAGGTAGTTTAAAATTGAATGATATATAACATTCGAATGAATTTGTCGGTACGATATATGCGCGACCTACTATAAGTTAGTTGCACTATGTCTTATAACCTTCGCGCAAGCAAAAGCAATAAGTTGACACAGTTTTACTGCAATCTCATGAACGGTATGGCAGCGCATAAAATACGAACAAACAAAGATTAATTTTTATATATTAGAATTAATATAAATTACTTACTAATTTTCGATGGCGGCCACTGCAATTCCAGTGACCAGTTTATCGGCAAAAGTAAGAAACTAGTACACCGAAGCACCTTGATGTGAGTCCTATCAAGGCGGTCCTATCAAGTCAGCCGTGATATACAGACTCGACACAATCGTGATAGAACTGCCAGCGCCTGGAAATAAAAAATTACGTAAAATATTAGTCCCTTTTTGTGTATTAAATGTCCGCGCATGTGAACTGTTAGTGTAATCGATGAAACAAGTGTTCCGATGGTGATGTGAATCGCAAGATAAGATGTTTGCTTAGGCGCCTTGAGATACTACAGTCGTCGAATGTTTTCTGGCTCAAGCTGTTCTCAAAAACTTTCAATGTGATGCATCAATATATTGTGAAGTTGTGAAACAAATTATTACAAAGGATAATTTTTCAATACACTTGACACTGGCAAAAGTACAACCGTAAGAGTCCATTACCAAAGAAAACTAAGAGAAAAACGGTTAATTTAAAATATTTGTAAAAAAATCTTTGTTTTCTTACTTATTGTATATTTAAATTATTGTTTATTTAAATTTAAAAATATAATTATGTTTGAGTGTGTATGTAGCAAGCTTTATTTTACTTTCAGAGTTATTATGTATTATTTATGTTTTTAACTTTACATTAATATATAAAACTCAGATATCTAATATACAACATATAAAATAAGCGTAATTTTGCCTTGACATACACTCTACAGACTATTGAAAATGAAACATGAGAAAACACACGAAATTCATAGCTCATTCAGTCCATGTTTCGGTAATTTTTTCTCTACATTTTTAAATTCTTCGGCGACAATGTCTACTCTATAAGACTGTTTGAGCAAAGACTATTATGTGTTTGACTCTTGATATTGGTATTATGGAGGTAAACAATGAATATTATATTTAATTTAAATGTATTTGTAACATATCATATATAAATTTTCGCTTTCTGTTCTCTTTCTTCGTGTAAACTAATTATGCAAATCTCACCCGTGCGCGCAATATTCTTTAAAATGTCACAAGGTGTTATTAACACATAGATAATTAGAGCGGTGGGTTGTTGCGCGCAGCATGCTGGCGGCCGGCAACTACGTGGTGGCGCTGTGGTCGGCGCCGTGCGACCGGCGCGTGGGGCCCGCGCCGCACGCGCTGCACCACCCGCCCGCGCCGCACCCCGTCATCAACATCGGTACTGTGCGCGCCACCCGGCACACACACATACTCACACCGCTCCGACACACATACGCTCCCACTCAAAACACTCCGTTCCGCACGCGCTGCACCACCCGCCCGCGCCGCACCCCGTCATCAACATCAGTACTATGCGCGCCACCCGGCACACACGCTCATACTCACACCGCTCCGACATACACACGCTCCCACTCACACCACTCCGTTCCGCACGCGCTGCACCACCCGCCTGCGCCGCACCCCGTCATCAACATCGGTACTGTGCGCGCCACCCGGCACACACGCTCGTACTCACACCGCTCTGACACACACACACACGCTCCTACTGATACCACTCCGCGCCGCACGCGCTGCACCACCCGCACGCACCGCACCCCGTCATCAACATCGCTACTGTACGCGCCACCCGGCACACACGCTCATACTCACACCGCTCTGACACGCACACGCTCCTACTCACATCACTGCGCGCCGCACGCGCTGTACCACCCGCCCGCGCCGCACGCGCTGCACCACGTCATCAACATCGGTACTGTGCCCACCACCCGGCACACACGCTCATACTTACACCGCTCTGTCACACACACACACGCGCGCGCGCGCGCGCAATTACTCACACTACTCCAACTCACTCACGCGCTTATTGCGATGCGATACTTGCACAGGCGTCAGGCACAGTTTGCTCGCGACTAATAAATACTATTGCTATAAAATGTAGCTTGTGAAAATTTGTACTTTAAGAGAAGTCAACCACACATTTCAAAGTCAGGGATTTTCGAATCAGAATGCTACAAAAGATGACAAAGAAAGAGACACGCAATCTCATACACAATATACAAACATGTATACGTATAGTTGGTAGATGTAACTCGAAATATGTTATCTTTCTGGTACAGCATTGGGTTATTAAAGTAACAAAAATGGTTACATAACCTAATTAACCATATTATAATTTTTCTTTCAGAGGTTCCACTGTACACGCGCACGGGTGTCAAATGGACGAACGGCGACGAAGAAAAACAAAGAAACATCTCGCAAGAGGAGTTGCCGTCCTTCGACTCTTTGGACGGACATACGCAGTCGCAACTGTTGCATTTAATAGAACAGGGCGCTTATCAGAGAATGCCCAATGAAGGAAGGGAAGTGAGTAGTTTTATTTTAATTATTTAACTTTCGTTCCATCCTTTTTCCACTTTTTATAGAAATTTTAAAATATACAAATTCTTTTTATTATATTTCTGGATTTTATTTTTGGATATATTTGTATCACATTTCTATCTTTTAAATTAGAAAATTGTTAGATTTACAAGTGATATCAAATTAAACTTACATAGTAAATAATATGTATTCTTATACAGATAGTAAGGTTAGAAACAGTGCATTTTCTTTACAACAGGTAATGTGGGAGAAACGTCAATACCTGGTACAATTGCCTGGTGCATTACCGCTGGTCCTGCTGGCCGCCACCAACTGGTACGGGGAGCACCGCGCGCAGCTGGTGTCGCTGCTTGAGCTCTGGGAGAAACCTTCGCCCTTGAACGCCATGCATTTGCTGCTGCCTTGGTAAGTGTTAAAACCTCCTGTATGATGATCGAATATATAATTGCCGACATAAGTCGTGAGCACATTTTTTATTGGTCGATATGACGTTGACCACGCTAACATTCAACGTGATTGGTCATCAGTCGATTCTCGTCGTCTATTGGTTTCGAACGTATCATTCGGCTTCCGTACACTTCAGAGCAATAATTTTAGTGATAACTTTTTTAATTAGTTTATTTTCGTTAATTGTTTTTGTTACCTCGTCGTTAATTGTTGTTTGTGTATTCCTTGTTATTAATTGTTTTTGTTATTTCTTGTTTTTAATTATTTTTGTTGTTATAATTTGAGTGTTCAGATTTCGGTCTAAATATGAAGAGAAGGAAGAATTCGGTGTTAAATAGACAATCCCGACAAATGGTCTATTCAGTGTTACATGAAAAAATTAAGTACTGCGAAAAACATCATAGACGTATATAAACAGACTGCTGAGGCGACTAATGTCTCAGTAGCTACTGTACGGCGCACCGCAACACCAGATTTCATTTCACCTCTTCCTTCTTCTTAATAAAATAATCAATTCTAACCACCAGGTACACATTAAATACTTCATAGTAGATAATAAAATAACGGACACGAATATCTGCAACATTACTGTACCAAAGTAAAAGTTGATGTGTTCGAGTAAACATTTTCATAAAAGTCGGCGAAAATATTCAATTACGAATTGAAATAATAAAGGTACCCAATAATTTTGCCCGACAGTGTACCTACCTCCCACCACAGTTTATCTGTGCTCATGACTCGTGTCGGCAACTATACTACTGATGAAAATCCTCTAAATTGTCCTCCTCTTTCTATGACTGTATCCAAGGCTGTCTCCCAATGAAAACGCGTAAACGTTATAATAAATTTATTTAAATTTACTATGAAACGTCGTGTATTCATAATCACATTTATAATACGGGTCTCATCGCACTGAGCGATTTATCGTTCAAATTAGTGATATGAAGGGGGCGCGACGGTGAAACTGGTGTTTCAAATGTGTTCCAAATGCTTTACTTACTTTCAAAGCTAAAACTCAAGAGGACTATCACGATAACATGAATTTTGAAAGTTACTGTAAATGGCTTACAAGCTTAATTGATACCATACTTTCCTCCAAACGCCGTTGTGGTAGTTGACAAAGCGTCTTACAAGCAACTTGACGCTGCCCCAACATCAAAAAGTCAAAAACAAACATACAAACTTGGTTAACCCAGAAAGGGCGAAATTTCATTTGACGAAACAATGCTGAAACCGCAATTGTAAGCCTTATTTAAACAAAATAAAGATCAATTCAAAACATTTAAGTACTGACAAGGTGTTATCCAAAAAAGGCAACAATGTTCTCCGCTTGCCTCTCTACCACCCGGCTCGAAACCCGATTGAGATGGCATGGTCACAGATCTAAGGTCACGTAGCAAGTAAAAACGTTAATTGGAATATCACCCGCGAGACTGAACTAATGAACGAAAAGGTAAATATGATGGGGGAAGGTGAATGGGAAAAATTGTGTAGTAAAAAGTATTGAGGATGAAAGTCCAATAAAAATTCTTGTGTCCTATTAGAGGAAACATAAGCTGTAGTATCAAATACACAATGAGGGTTGAATTGGCCCTAATCTAAAAATGTCTTTCATCTAATAATTGGCAATTTTTACACAAATAATTTTAACTTTATATTCATTCACTTATACTTTACCAAATTTTGTGATAAATAAATTTATGATTATGTATTCTAACTTCTAATTGATATATTTTTTTTTTTATTGGAAATGGGTGACAAGCGAGCACACAGTCCACCTGATGGTAAGTGGTTTCTGTGGCCCATAGACATCTACATCTATCCTCGTTTGCGAATCAAAATGAAGATGCGTGCGTTGTCAGCCTTGAGGACAAAAATGGAATGCCTCTTTTCCAGTAAAAAGGGTCTCCGGTTCTCTACACTCACCATACGAAACACAGCAGCATCAAGCTGCTATTTGACGCTGGTATTCTGTGAGAGCGTGGTACTTCCCCGGTCGAGCCGACCCATTCGTGCTACCACTATACAATTAATATAGCCGCAGCATGGCTCTACCACGTAAAAATTTTTTTGGAATACCAGCATACGACAGGCCCTGCTTGTTGACAGACTGATGACGGAAAATTTACCTAAAAACGCTGATTCTCAATTTTACACATTAGTTATGTTGAGCAGCATTATCATTGTGCGAATATCTCGAACAACAACGAAGGACCGACTTGAGTTTCCCTGACTCTGTATAGCGTAAACGACATTTGTTGTTTGTAATATGTATGTTTTCGATTTATAGGAATGCTAAAGTCTCTGGAAAGAGACTCGAAGTATTTGTAACATGATTGGTGCAAGAAAAAAATTAGAAATAATATTCCGCATGTTTTTTTAAGTTTCCCGGATTTAGCAGTACGCAAATTGGCGGCAAAGCTATTGAACGGAATGTCCGACGACGATTTGATACGCGTGCTGCCACAACTGACGCAGGCCTTGCGCTACGAGACTTACGAGGCGAGTCCGCTTGCAGGTTTGTCGTTACTACGCTTCGATTTAATATTTTCATATTCTTGTTCTTCTGTAATAAGCTTTGTGATTACTAAATATGTACAACTTGTGACATTTTTTTTCTTCATGATGTTAAGAAAAAGTTGATTTAATTTAATGTTGTCGTTAGATTCAACTACGAAAATGCACGTTATGAATATGCCAGAATTTCAAAATTTTGTATAAAATTTTTAAGCTCGCAGATATTATCCTATTTGCAGATATTTTATTACAAACTAGAATTTTATTACAAACTAGATTCTAGGGTTTTTTTTCAACCTGAGAGCTTTTAAGTTGGTAGTACCCTCTTACATATTTCTGCGGCTGATTAAGAGCTCCATAAAAAGTAATGAAAGTGCATACAGAAGGAGTGTAATTAAAACCTGTTTCAGAATTATTGCTGTCCCGTGCTATGTCCGCACCTGCTGTTGCTCATAAGCTGTTTTGGTTGCTGGTTCACTCCTTGCCAAATGTACCGCAGGTTAGTGCCGACATAAAATAATTACTTAATTTATATATTTTTTTCCCAACGATGTCGTATTTTATTTTTATTGACCGTAAAATAAGTCGGCAAAATCTTAAATTAATTAATTTTAAATATATTGATAATATTTGTTCGTTTGTCACCTTATCCTGTGTTAGCTAAACGCGACATGTTAATATTGGTTATTGTCAAAATTTACATCTGGCTCGAGGGACCCATTAATTTAAAACACGTGGTAGAGCCATGCTGCAATTATATTAGAAGTATAGTTGTAGCACGAATGGGTTGGCTCGCCTAATGCTGTTGTGTTTCGTATGGTGAGGGTCTGAGAGTAGAGAACCGGAGACCCGTTTTACTGGAAACGAGGCATTCCATCTTAGTCCTCACGGGTGACAACGCATCTGCATTTTGATTTGTAATTGAGGATAGATGTAGATGTCTATGGGCCACAGCAACCACTTACCATCAGGTGGACTGTGTGCTCGTTTGTCACCTTATCCTATAAAAAAATGTATTAAATAAACATATTCTTATTATAGGCGCCAAACCATGAGTTCCTGGGAATTACACTGGAAGAAAATGCTACTGAATGTCAGGAAGTGGATGCTTGTTTGACTGCGACGTGGCGATATAGGCTAATGCTCCGAGCGTTGCTTGCAATCTGTGGAGAAAACCTTACTCGGACATTATTACGGCAACAACTGTTGGTCAAGGTTTGTATTTAAGTTATACATATACATAAGTCATACCATGAGATATAACTTAATAATTTTCAAAATAGGTTAATTCATATCTTAAAGTCAAAATTGTTTAATTTCCTCTTTGTTAATAATTTATGAAACTTACAATTTCGCCTAGCCTGTTCGTAACCATTTAATGTGTGTCGACACCGTTACCCTTTATGTGATAGAATGATAGTGATGAATAGTAAGATAATAATAAAAGTCTTCACTGATATAAAAATGATAACTATATTGATATAAAAAGTTGCATGCTCATAATAATAATATGATAGATGAGTGCGTCCGGAGGAATTGAACTGTTTGCAAGTCGAATAAATACTACGTAAAACTAAATGTGCTGAGATGACTGACAAAAGTTCCCTTGGACAGCCTTGACGAGAGACCAAATTGCACGGGTGCCCGAAGGAAGGCGAACTAGTTTCTCGCCAATTCTGCCGATGTGTTTATATCTTGCCTTAACAATAACTCTTTTGAAGGACCTGGAGGCGGAATTATACTTCTTTTAAAGAGCGCCGGTGTTTACATCTCGAGACGTTGATGCGTCAGCCCAGGCCCAGTAGCACTCCTGCTTATAGCGTGATGCTATTTTACAGGAGCGACCAAACCGTGGCTGGGATCTGCCGATGCCGATGGGCACCACAGAGGATGGAATAAAAAGTTTCATACCCTGAAGTACCACATCAGCGACAGAATCAGCAACAACCCTGGGACCGTCCGGCGAGAAGTAAACCCGCACCCAAGGGTAGAATGCAAAAAAGACCGCATCCTAAAGACCTATAGCGGCAGCCTGCGGAATGCAACCGCGACGTTAAAGTTACTGGCAACAAACTCCGAATAAGACAAGCCCAGAGGGGCGTGGAAACTTGATATCCGTCCGGATGAGAGGTCAGCAGAAGGTCCAACAGGGAAGGTGTATGATCTTCTACATCTGGAATCCGCGTAGGCGAAGTAACCCGTTGTGTCAGATCATATGCCAAGGCAAAGTCATAAACAGATCTCCCCAGATGATCGGTTAAACGTGAACTTAGCTATTCGGCGTGGTGGGCGTTAAAATCGCTAAAGATCACGATCTCTGCGAATGGAATCTGCTGTAGCACGGAATCTGTATCAAATCTGGTCGATGAGTCGGTCAGTTTCGGCATTACCGTTATGGGACCTACCACCACCCGTAGATGCGCGGATGGTCGTCGCTGTCTACGTGCAGTCAAAGGATGGACAGATCCGTACCTTCAAGACTGCCGAGGCGTCGAAAACAGATGTCCTCTCTGTACGTATACGCAAACTCCAGCACAAGGCACAAAGGAGTGTTCTAAATTGTACCCCGGTTAGGAGAGATACATAGATAGAGCTCCAGCTGATATAAGTATCAGCTGGAGAGGACACCTGAGTTTCGGTTAAAAAGAGCAAAGCCGGCTTCGCCGTCTACAGATGGTAGAGGATAGCATTAAGATTGGAATGAAGTCCCCTGACATTACAAAAATTCACGGATAGTGTGACAGGGGTCAGCTTGGTTTTATTTCTACGCTATTGCGCCCCCCCCCCCCAGAATATGCGCTTTTTCGTGGATGCTCAGATAGAGATTCTCCGTCACCAGGAGTGCTGGTACCCTCCTGGGGTAGTTTTTTTAATTGATTCCGCTACCATATTAAGGGGGGAGGAGAGGAATTGGGCCTCCGGCCACTTGCAACTCATCAAGCGAAACTTAGAGGTAAATCTCTACTTCACGCTGGTATTCTGTGAGGTTGTGGTACCCCAGTTCGAGCCAGTCCATCCGCGCAACAGCAAAACCGCGTGGCTCTACTAATGTACTAAAAAAAATATTTTCCTTCTAGACTGTGTCAGAAGTGGCATTATCTGTAAAATGCGCTAAGGAGGCGCTACGTCAACGCGCTCTGCACGACGGCGGGGAGCGGCTGGCGGCGCTGCTGCGGCTGGAGCCCGTCGCGTTGCCGCTCGCGCTGCACCGCTACGTGCACGACGTCGACATCAAGTACTGTGCTGTGTGTCATTACTCAGTGCTCAGCGCTCAGTGCGCTGGAGTGGCAGGCGGCGCTGCTGCGGCTAGAGTCCGTCGCGCTGCCGCTCGCGCTGCACCGCTACGTGCACGACGTCGACATCAAGTACTGTGCTGTGTGTCATTACTCAGTGCTCAGCGCTCAGTGCGCTGGAGTGGCAGGCGGCGCTGCTGCGGCTAGAGCCCGTCGCGCTGCCGCTCGCGCTGCACCGCTACGTGCACGACGTCGACATCAAGTACTGTGCTGTGTGTCATTACTCAGTGCTCAGCGCTCAGTGCGCTGGAGTGGCAGGCGGCGCTGCTGCGGCTAGAGCCCGTCGCGCTGCCGCTTGCGCTGCACCGCTACGTGCACGACGTCGACATCAAGTACTGTGCTGTGTGTCATTACTCAGTGCTCAGCGCTCAGTGCGCTGGAGTGGCAGTCGGCGCTGCTGCGGCTAGAGCCCGTCGCGCTGCCGCTCGCGCTGCACCGCTACGTGCACGACGTCGACATCAAGTACTGTGCTGTGTGTCATTACTCAGCGCTCAGCGCTCAGTGCGCTGGAGTGACAGGCGGCGCTGCTGCGGCTAGAGCCCGTCGCGCTGCCGCTCGCGCTGCACCGCTACGTGCACGACGTCGACATCAAGTACTGTGCTGTGTGTCATTACTCAGTGCTCAGCGCTCAGTGCGCTTGAGTGGCAAGCGGCGCTGCTGCGGCTAGAGCCCGTCACGCTGCCGCACGCGCTGCACCGCTACGTGCACGACATCGACATCAAGTACTGTGCTGTGTGTCATTACTCAGTGCTCAGCGCTCAGTGCGCTGGAGTGGCAGGCGGCGCTGCTGCGGCTAGAGCCCGTCGCGCTGCCTCGTGCTGCTGCTCGCGCTGCACCGCTACGTGCACGACGTAGACATCAAGTACTGTGCTATGTGTTATTACTCAGTGCTCAGCGCTCAGTGCGCTGGAGCGGCTGGCAGTGCTGCTGCGCCTGGAGCCCGTCGCGCTGTCGCTCACGCTGCACCGCTACGTGCACGACGTCGATGTCAAGTACTGTGCCGTGTGTAATTGCTTAGTGCTTGGCGCTCAGTACTCAATGCGCAGATGCGGCTGGCAGCGCTGCTGCACCTGGATACCGTCGCGCTGCCGCTCGCGCTGCACCGCTACTTACACGACGTCGACGTCAAGTACTGTGCCGTATGTCATTAATCAGTGCTCAGTGTGCGGGAGCGGCTGGTAGCGCTGCTGCGTCTTGAGTCCGTCGCGCTGCGCTAATTATTTATAAAACACCCGATTGCGCTGTTCGCGTTATTAGCATATTATGCTGAAATGCCACGTTTGGGAAGCTGGCTAAGTAAAGTTTTTCGTGTAGTTGATTTAACATGTATCTTCCTTTTGTTTATGAATATTTTGTACCCTCGAAATAAGAGGTGAATTAGTACTACTTTCACACTACCACCATACAGCGTCACGGGCCTTTATTTTGTATTGGATTTGTTTAGAAAACGACATTGAATAATAAATATATACATGAAAACTTTTAAATAGTATTTGAAAAATGTCGCTAAAATCAAAATAGACCATCTTCATTCCGATGTATATGCTAAAAATTATAATTGTACGCCCATAAGTTCCTGCTTCTGGCTCGAAGGACCTAAAACTTTTTAAATTATTTCTAATTTTTTTTGGTAGTTATAGTCGACCAAATCTAAGAAATACATTTTGACAGCTGTCAGACTTATTGCACATTCGATTCTTAAAAAAATCGATATCGATTATTTAGAGTTGATAATCATTTACAGTATGGTTTGAATAATACCAGAATAAATTAAAAACGGATAATTTAAAACAAGATTTATTAGTTTCTACGTATTTGTTGTTACTGCTTATTTCTAGAGGCACAGTTACAAAAACAATTAAAACTAAATTAGAAATAAATTTATTCAATCACTTTCAGTACAACTAGTTGGGCTGTCGTTGTTTAGATTAATTATTATGCAGTCAAAATTAACGTCTCTTTCAAAGTCATCCATAATTTTTTTTTTGTTTTTTCTACCACTTTTGCCCAATGATCCTTTGTGACATGGGCACATGCTTCAACGAATATAGAACCAATCCAAAAAGTTAAAGCCGAGTCACAAAATAAGAATACAAACACAAAATACAAACACAGTAAGCTCCCGAAATGGCGGGATATTGAAATTACGCAGTTGGTTTTTTCAGCGCGGCCTTGTATGTATATGAGTTTTTTTTTTGCCTACACAAGTTTACATTGAGAAATAAAATAAAACTAGTTTTATTCATGATTCATGTAATTTAAGGAATTTTAAAAATAAAAATTAAATTAATCAAATAATAGATTAAAAAAATTAATGAATATTTTTACGAATTCGCATAACATTGAATTTTAATAATCCAAACACTATAGTAATGTTCATAGCGACATATCATTGAAATGACGTCAAGTAAAAAAAGTTGATACCGATAATTTTTTAATATTTTGCTTTGTTTGAAATATTCAAATTTAAATTAGTCACAAATAACTGTAAACATTGTAAAGAAATATAGATAACTTTATAACTCTTCGGATTTACGTAAAAGGTTATTTTAAATCGTGTAAGTACGCTTGTGCAAAGTTATTGCGGAATGATTAATGTGAAATGTCAAAAGGTATTTCTTAGATTTTTGTTTGACTATAGTTACAGATAGTTCAAGTGCATTGCTCTTAAAAATAAAATATGCTTGCATGTAAAATGTATTATAAATATTTTTCTAGAACCAAAATATTTATATGTTCTATAAAATAATAAATGTTGTTCGCAGATCATGTTCCTATTTCTCTTCAAACACGCTCCCATTGAAAATTAACTTTATTGGTGTTGACAATGCTATTGTACCCGCGATGTTCAAGGTAAGCAACTTGCAATAATTTTGACATAATGCGTTTAAATTGTTTTTATATCCTTTCTCTCTCTTTCTATTCTCTCTAAAAAGGGTCTCGTCTCTTTAAAAGGGGCTTAAATTTAAGACCTGTGTGGTATAGTAGTATCAATATACTATGTCTTTAACTCATGTTTTTATTGTTTATTATTATTATAATAAATTATTTAATGTAACTGTTAGTATTTCATTAATTCTTATAAAATGCACGCGTCTAGGTGGGAGACGATTTAAGACAAGACGCCTTAGTGCTGCAGGTGATCAAAGTGATGGATAGTCTGTGGCTTAAAGCGGGGCTGGACCTACGAATAGTGACTTTCCAAGCTTTACCGACTAGTCACCAAAGAGGTATCGTGAATGTTCATTTTGAAGAAATTGTGTTATGATTTAAAATCATTTTTATTTTATAAATATCTAGTTAATTTTGTATAATATTATATACTGTAATATAAGCGAATGGTGAAAAAAATAACCAAGAAAAAAAACTGAAACATTTTATCTTTTTTATCCTTTATTAAAATGTGTGGAAATGAATTATTTTAAAAGATTATCATATATAAATATGAAGCGCTTACTATTTTATACGCACGCACACTTTCGTAAGGGAGTGTTGAATTCGGAAACAGTCGGTGGCTTTCAGTACTCGCGCTTGGTTTACAGTTTAGAGGTAGTGTTAAATAGGTAAAGACAAACGCGTCCCCCGCCCTTTTCTTTTCGTTACACCGCTCGGTACGTTTACCTGGCCGGCCGACAGTGTTGAGGTGACAGTGTCCTCATTACGTACAGAGTGTCCTTTTTTTAAATTTATGTAAGTAGACAAAATCGTTTAACAAAGGAGTGTATCGTACTAACCATTAAGAAACACAAACTCCAAAGCGTGACCATCTGTTTCAGCCAATCACATCAAATAGCATCTCTACATGTTTCGCTGTAACTCACATGAAATGGCGTCATTATTTGTTTCATTCAAAAACATTTCTCATTTGCACTTATTGAATTGAATATTTATGAGATGAAAATGTATTGTGGTGTAAGTGTGGAACTGTTTTGATTTTAGGTCTTGTTTCAGAAAATCAAATTAATTTTATTTTTCATGCATGAAAAGACACATATTATACCATTTAGAAATCTAAGATTAATGGGTCATCTTTTGAAGTAACTTACTACGGTAGTACAGCATATTTTTTTAATGAAGTCAAAGTTAGGTAAATCTGTCTCTTTTGAACTACGACTAAAAGAAACTACGTTAATTTAAATAACCTAACAAGCCTTTTTATGATTGATTTGTGAATACAATTTGACGTTTGTTTTAGACGACGTTGGTGAAAACATCACTGTGAAATTGAGAAATTTGTAGTCAAAATACATAATGATTTTTTTTTTCATTTTGTCAGTTATAACTCAATTGATAAACATTTTTCCCGGGGCTGGTATGACACCCCCTCTCGCCCCGTGCCAGCTTGACGTTGTGTTTCGGGATACGTTTTATATGTATGTAATACACGGAACAAGAATACAATCTATAAGTTGCTTCTTATTATATCGTTCAAATAAGATAATGAAATAAGTACTTTACTTAAATTTTATTTGTAAAAGTTTTTTTAAATTTGAATTGCTATGAACTATAATTTTGGAGTTTTCGAATGAATTGAACCCAAAATACATAGGAAATCCGGCTTGAAGGTCCACTATGATCAAAGGTTAGATAGAATTATGCGCGGATTGAACTTCTTTTTTTTTGTAGTAATCGCGACACTTCTTACTTGAAATAAAATTAATTAGAAACTTATTTTGGAATTGCTACTTAATTTACCTACAGTGAGAGAAAATTAGTCTGGCCCACCAGGAAGGGTAAATGAAATAGGTAAACTCACGGTTAGCGGCAGCGGCGATCAACTTCAACTTGGCTTCTACCATATCTTCGGACGTGGAAGGCTTCAGTCTTCCTTGACCACACTCCTACGTGATTATATAGTCTATGCACACATCTGGGTCGACCCGGAACACTCACATTCAAGGTGACAAGAATAACCATTACCGATGCAGTTCGCCTTGAGTCTTGATTACATGTGGGTATCGATCGCGTCGACTTCTTTTACAGACGCTTTTGTTGTGTGTCAACAGATGGCGCCATAAGTTTTGTTTGCGATTAATTGGAAAGAAGGAAGCGATAGAAAAGTAAGGAAGGCAAGCCAGTACAATATATATATATATATATATATATATATATAAATATATATATATATAGATTGTATTCTTGTTCCGTTCTTGCGGACGACCTCAAAAACATAGCCTTTTGAGCCAGATTAATCATCATCTTTATTATTACCTTTAGAAATAAATACCATAGCGAAAACAAAAACAACTAAAAAAAAGTGTTACGTGTAAGTTCGTAATCATAACTAAGAATAACGTAAAATTTTGGTTTTTACAGGAATGATAGAAATAGTAACAGAAGCGGAGACTCTACGGGCCATACAAACGGAGTGGGGGCTGACTGGTTCATTCAAGGACAAGCCGATCGCCGAGTGGCTCGCAAAGCACAACCCATCCGAGTTGGAGTACCAACGAGCCAGGGACAACTTTACTGGTTAGTTTCTGTGATTTTCAGTAAATTCGTTTCTTTTAATAGAAAAAATTATATCAATTATATTAAAATTACTAATATTTTCGTTAACAACTTGAAATAAGTTTAAAATCGTTTTAGAAGTGGTTCACAATAGTAACAATAGTCGCGTCAACATGATTAGGCTTACAGATATTTCTTTGGATTTAGCTTTTGATGATTGAGAACTTCATATGATTTTATTAATGTACTATGAGTTTCAATGTATACACAATCTCCTAGACCATATAGGCATTTCCGTATGTTTCAGGTCTTTTTATGAGTAATCGTAATTGCGTGTAATCCACAAAATTATTGAAAAACATTGGGTCTGTTTGAATTTTATGTAGAATCACTGTTAAAGTATACAATCAAGCAAAATCGTTCGATCAAAAACTAGCACAGACCTATTACATCTAGACTGGCAACAGACATCATTGTTAGAAGAGGATTTATAGATACACTATCGTACGAGTATTAAAAAGTCACTGGTATTTTATTCTGTCCTTATCGCCGTGTATACTTTTGGGCTGTGTTCTGAAATAGAACCCAGTATGCTGGCGAATGCAAATGATGTCATCAATTGACGCCATATTGTACTGACGTGCCGCCGCCATATTGTGTTGGATATCTCGCCATATTAAAATAATTATTAAACAGCCATGCACTAAATCATCGTCATTAATATCACTATCGGATGAATTTCAATAGCAACACGGCTTACTAACATACGAGGGTGACACTGAAAACTCTTAGAAAATCTAAAACTGAACAAACTAGCAAGTTATTAGTTTTATTGTATCTTTTCAAAATAGTGTCAATTTACATGAATACATCGCTGCATCCGATGGAGGTTCCATCGATTCGATCGAGTCGATTTTTTTGCTTGGCGGTGTGCGACGAGGCGTCGTAGTGAAGGAGGATCCTACTGCGAGGTCGTTTCTCCCGAACTTTTTCCACAATTGTAACACTCTGCAGTGATTTTTTTTTCGATTGAAAACGATTGTTGCGTAATGACCTGTCCTTCCGAAGAACGAGGCCACCATCTTTTTTCCTATGCTTCGACTTCTCTGCATATTAGTAAACAACTTCTCGGAAAAAAATACCCAGACAGCAGACTGTCTCTTAGTTTCAGGACCATAACAATAAATCCAGCTTTCTGCTCTGTTAAATCTTTAAACCATTTCACGACACTAATCAACACCACTCGTAGGCAACTTGTCTGCCAGGCTTGGCAGCTAGGGCAAATATCCTACTTATGAGACAATCTATGGGGAGAGATTGTTTATCTGTGGATTTTTATTGGGGCTGTAATAAGATAATGAATGAAATAACCCTAATGTTATGGAAATAGTATTTTGATGATCACTCACTGTATAAAGCGAGACACACTGAATTGGCCACGCGAGATGCAAATCAAGGTGTTATAATTCTGTGCTTGACAGTCTTTGCTCGAAAGACTTAAATTGACATGTTGACAGTTAACACTTAGGCGTTATTGTTGCCAGTAATTGAAATTAGTTAGCCGCAATATGACGTAAGTTTCCCGCAGGTTGTAATCTAGCAAAATAAAAAAAAAATATGTATTTTACTTTCTTCTGCACGGACCACAGATTCGCTACTCTGATTGTGATGTTAACTCTTTATGTTAGTTATTTATAAAGTGCATTTTAATATTAAGTCTTTTTGTCAATGCCGTTAAAGATTTTCAGTATATATTTTTTTATTGTAGCATGATATATTTTATTTGCCATACTTAGTTCTTCATGCGAATCTAGGATTTTAAAATGTCAAAATGGACACACTCTTTGCTACCTATTTTATTACTTTTAAGTGCCTTTTTTTTAAATATACTGTTTCAATGTCTTTATATGTATATGTTTCTTACGTATAGAATATTTATAATTTTGTTGACAGCGTCGTGCGCCGGCTACAGCGTGGCAACGTACTTGCTCGGGATTTGCGATCGACACAATGACAACATTATGTTGAAGACATCCGGACATTTGTTTCACATAGATTTTGGAAAATTCTTAGGCGACGCTCAGATGTTTGGCAATTTCAAAAGGTAAGGTGGTCTGAAAGAAAATTGTCAGCTGGCGCGTAATTGGTGTCTTAAAAAAGTGGGTCTTAAAAATAAATTAGTTGCGCCAAAACGCATATGTGTATACCATAGAATACTATAATACACAGTAGAGTGGCTGTCAACCTTATTTTGTACGAGAATCGGCGTCGCCGGGAGCACATATACCAGCAATTACGTCGTATTATCATTACTACAAACCATATTCGCTGTGTTGACAGACTAAGCGAATTTACATATTTTAGACTTGATTAATGTTCAAGATCAACATTAAAAAAATCGTTTAAATTTTAATACGTATTTATTTGTAAATAGTGTGCAAACTAATCGTAAGTACAACCGCAGAATGTATCATTTTTTTCTTATTGTAAATAAAAAGGTGTTGAACACGTTTAAGATGCGTAGCATCATATTGGTCTTTGCATTTAAGCAAACTATATAATGGTATCACCGTTAGGGATGTACTATTGTTTAGTGACTTACCGGTTACCGGTAAGCACCGGTAAAACTAGAGTGTATTTATTTTGAAATATTAAATAATATTTTTGTTATTAATTTTGTACAATTTTATACTAACAGATAAATAGTAAAGTATCCACTTTGTAAAAGTGCAATGAAAAAAAATTTTGTATGTTCCAAATATTTCTATGTAAATGTAACCAGGATAACTAATATAAAAACTTTATTAATTTTTTTTAATGTTATCTTATAGAGGGAACAAATTTACAATTTGATAAAAAAATGTTAAAATTGAGTTTATTCGTAGGTATTAAATTAATATTTTTCATCGTATTTTATCGTATCTATGTAGCTTTTCATTAGGCCAAGTACTAATTTAAAAGCGACAATATTTTCTGGCTTATCGGTATCCGAAAATTTTATTACATCGCTAGTGATTCCAATATCTATTATTTTTGACACATCAATATTTCTCGATTAGTAACGTCAAAAGAGATGTGTTGACATTTATACGTGTGAATTGATATGTTAGTGACATATTAGTCGCTACACCGGCTCCGCCCACTCCCCCGTTTTATTATATATGTATTATAGTATTCTATGGTGTAGACTATGTTAGCTGGTATCCTTTCCCTATCACTCTATCTTCTTTCCTGCACAGGCACACCAATAGGATCCTAGATAAGTGGCATCATTTTGCGCGTCCAATAAGACGCGTTGGCCGTAAAGTGAAAGTTCGGAAACATATAGTATTCTATGGTGTAGACTATGTTAGCTGGTATCCTTTCCCTATCACTCTATCTTCTTTCCTGCACAGGCACACCAATAGGATCCTAGATAAGTGGCATCATTTTGCGCGTCCAATAAAACGCGTTGGCCGTAAAGTGAAAGTTCGGAAACACGCCACCTGCCGGCCAGTTGTTGTAGACTGTGGCAGTCGCGCCACAGAAGAACCGCTAACCGCTTCGCATAGTGAAAGCTATCGTCGCGCACCACAGCAGCTACAACGTACCATTATAGCAATTTAGTAACGCCATCGCATAGTGAAATGATAACACTCACGTTTAGGTTGTCAAAATTAAAAATTGTCATAATATGCATGATACAGTTTACTTTTGTTGTGTTATGACTTATGACACCTGGTGATCCGAATATGGAAAATACAAAAGTATAGCATGATTGCGATTGGCTCACAGATTCAGTCGATATAATGACGTCACAACCAATCACAAGTCGTTGTTTTTTCATTAAAAATTTTAATTCTTTCTTTTTTATAATTACTAAAACAAATGGAATTGGTAATAAAAATGTATTTAAAAAATATACTTTAAATTTGTGGCAAGAAATGCCACTTCTCTATATATGTTGTTGCGCGAATGTCTGGTATATGGCGGGTTACCACTAGCGCCATCTAGTATCGAGTAGCAGAACTAGAAGCGTCAAGATCTTTCTAGAAAATTCTATTCTAGAACTTTCTATACCTAGTCAGTCGGGGCCAGTATGTACTCGAACATTCTAGATGTTTCAATAGAAGAGGCCCTACATAAGGTTGGTAAGGACCGCAACCGAATCAGTATTGAATTGGCGATTCAAGGGAATACTTCTAAGCGATATAACTGCGAACTAAAGTGATCAGCAGTACAGTTGTGTTTTAATATCAGTGTGTTTTAAGTTATAATTGGTGTTCGGTAATTAAAGTGTTAATTTTGGTAATAAAAGCAGTTTTCATTGTCACGAATCCCAAGCTCGTAACAATTAGTGACAGAAGTAGGATTAAATCATGCTGATTTTGCCTAAGGACGACACGGAGGGTATCCTTACTTGAAGTCGACGCCAGCATGAGACAGACCAGAGACTATTTGGTGGTGTAACGCAGAAGACGTCTGAGGGCCAGCTGTCGATCACGGAGGCCGGTCCACCAGCAGCTCCTGTATCTGCAGCATCTGACTTAGGTGCTCTGATGATGATACTGCAGGAGCAAGCAACACCTTCGCTACGTGGATTCAAAGTGCCGCCGTTCGACGGGACTTCTTTCTGGTTGGCCTACAAAAATTCAATTCGACGCTGTCATGAAGGCGAACGGCTGGAATAAAAGTCAGGCCACGACTGCTCTCACCCTAGGTCTGCGCGACCAAGCCTTAACTGTTCTGGAAGCACTCGGTAAGAAAGTGACTTACGAGCAGCTCCTTGAGGCATTGGGGGGCGAGATATGGCAACACTCACCTATAACACGTCTTTTGTGCGCAGCTTAAAGATAGCGTGCGATGCAGCAACGAAAACCTGCAGGAGTGGGCAGTGAGGTGGAGAAGCTGGTTCGAAAAGCATACCGGTCTGTACCTGCGCTAACTGAAGGGAACCTGATGCAGAAATTCATCGACGGCATCCGCGACCCCGCGACCTTGAAGTCAGAGCTGCTGTGAGGCTCGGGCACCATGATACGCTTAAGGGACGCCTTGGCCCATGACCTGGAGGTGGAAACCATGCGGCAGAATCATCGTTCCCATCGCGTTAGAAAGGTTGCACTAGCTACGGTTCGTGACCGCAATAAAGGATACTGCCCTAGGTGTTACGGCTGTGGGGAAAGGGGCCATCTTCGACCCAGCTGCTCTAAGCGAACTATAGAAAGGGAAGGTGATCGATCTCGAGAGGGAAGTGCGGCTAATAGCACCGTCCAGCATCGCAGCGGGAAATCTTATGGCAACGTGGATACATTGTCAAAAATACCTTATTCTGAAGATTGCAAGCATTATACTAGGCAAGAGTGTAAGGAAGTGATAGCCAGTGGCGAAGCTAGAGCTCCAAGCTAGGGCAAGCCCAAGATATAAATTGATAACAATATAAACTGTTGTTTTTAGCAGTTTTATAAAAATACACCAATCTTGATCTGTCTCCACGCTTCAGTTTCATATTCAGTGCTGTCAAGGATGTGTTTAACAAAGCACACAGAAGGCATACCAGTGCTAGATAGATTTTATTACATATCAGCAATTGCATAGCTTCGGTGGCTTTGAAGAAAGCCGTTTGGGTTTGTTTAAGCGAAAGAAAAAAATATTTACATCCAATACAATACATGAACAAAAGTAAAACATGAACAAAGTACAAACAATGTACAAAATTAAAAAAAAAATTATTTACATTGTAATGGCTAAGAGATAAGATAAGATAAGTGGAATCGTCTCGCTTTCTTATGGAAAGATTTAATTACGTCCACGTAAAATGTGTGTGAACGTTTTAATTGTACCAATAACTGCTTTTAATTGCGATAATTGTTATAAGTCTGAAATACACTCTTAACCTTGTGTATTATCTCAACAAAGTTTAAAGATTTCCTCTCCGATTAGCACTTTAACACACTTCAATTCATCACAAGAAACACTATTATCCTCCATTTTCATTAAAAATCTTTAAAAAAGCATAAACTTTGAATTCGTAATATTAAATCGCTTAAGATAAGCACACAGAGGAAATAAACATTAAAACGTGAAATGAACTTGCAAACGTATTGCCCGCGCGCCTCCGTTTTTAACAAATTTATTCCCGAAAGCCTGGCTTTATATCTCCATACTAATTGCTATATATACAATCGTAGTTATATTTCATTATAGAATATTTTGCCATAGGTTAGAAAGAGAGCTATCGTCTTCTCGAAAGCCCCGTAAAAAGCCAACGCGAGCGAGGGAGACAAATAATCGCTCTATTAAAACTCATTTTTTATGACGGCAGCAGTATCGCTAAGGCAATACGAGGTCATCGGTGGACATGTGTCGAACAGTGGAGTGCGCGGGAAATTTGAAATAGCTTGAAAAATTTTACGAGTTATTTTATTAGTTGATATTATTGATTGATTCAGTTTTAATAAGGCAAGCCCGGCTTTTCGGCTTTTATGGAAGCTTCGCCACTGGTGGTAGCTGTGAGGATGCTCAAGACAGACTGGCTCAGCAACGAGTGGAAGGACAACCTACAACATACAGCAGGAAGATTCAGACATCAAGCCGATTCTGGAATGGATGAAGGCCAATGCCCCCAAGCCCAAGTGGAGCAACGTCTCAGCGATGAGTTCCACCACGAAAAGCTATTCGGCCTAATGGGACAGCTTGCTGATTCAGGATGGAGTCCTGTGCCGTAAATGGGAAAATGGTCGGGGAGACAGCTGTCATTTGCAAATGGTTGTCCCTAAAGTTAAAGTACCGGATGTTCTACAGCTGTACCATAATGGATGTTCAGGAGGTCATCTGGGATATAACGAACTCTAAAATTTAAAAACAAAACAACTACAACTTCTATGCATGATACAGTTTACTTTTTACTACCCGCAATTTGATGGAACGGTAGAACAATTGAATCAGACATTGGCGACCAAAATTAACCTATCAAAAGTTGTGGAAAATTGGCAACGAGATTGTGACAAGCACATACAACCGTTTTTGTTGTCATATCTAAACGCTGTTCACGAAAGTACATGAGTGACACCAGCTTTCGCAAACTTTGGAAGAGAATTACGTCTGCCTGAAGACCTGATTACCGGAATACCACTTAATGCCCTACGCAGTATAACCGATTATACAAATGACTTGCGGAACAATATGAATGACATTTATGAGCACGTCTGACATCACGTTTTATACGTGGTAGAGCCATGCTGCAGTTATATTAGTAGTATAGTTGTAGCACGAATGGGTCGGCTCGACAAGGGAAGAATTACGCTCTCACAGAATACGAGCGTCAAATAGTAGCTTAATGCTGCTGTGTTTCATGTGGTGAGTGTAGAGAACCGGAGACCCTTTCTACTGGAAACGTGCATTCCATCTAAGTCCTTTTTGTCCATTTTGATTCGTAATCCAGGTTAGATGTAGATGGCTATGGGCCACAGTAACCACTTACCATCAGGTAGACTGTGTGCTCGTTTGTCACCCTATCCTACAAAAAAAAGCAGAAAATAAATCGGGCCAGCACATGTCTAAAAAAGATGAAAACTCTATATACGGCAAAATGAACACAGGGTTCGAGGAAGGTTCACTAGTGTGGTTGCACAATCCAGTCTCAGTAAAGGGAAATCTCCTAAGCTTCAAGCTAAATTGGACGGAATGTACAGGATTATGACAAGGATCAATGACGTAACCTATCGGATACAGATAGTTGCAAGAGATACTCCCAAGATCATCCATGTGGATCGACTGGCGCGTTATTTCGGAGCCGATAATGCTCAGGACGAACATTTCTTACAATGGGGCAGTGTCGCGCCATAACTAATGCCTGGTACATGGCGAGTTACCACTAGCACCATCTAGTAACGAGTAGCAGAACTAGGAGAGACAAGGTCTTTCTAGAAAATTACATACCAGAACTTTCTACACCTAGTCAGTCGGGACCGGTATATACTTGAACATTCTAGATGTGACAGTAAAAGAGGCCCTATATAAGACCGCTAAGGACCGTGACCGAGTGAGTATATATTTGACAATTCAAGCGAATACTTCGAGACGATATAACTACAAACTAAAGTGATCAGTAGTACAATTGTGTTTTATTATTATTGTGTTTTAAGTTGTAATTGGTGTTCGGTAATTAAAATGTCAATTTTGGTAATTCAACTGGCAGTTTTTATTGTCACAAACCCCAAGCTCGTTACAATTATAAAATCTAAAGTTTTCAATCCGCCTGCCAAACATGACAACGATAGCAAAATCCTCCCTATGAGACCTATATTCAACAGTGGACATTTGATAAGCTGGTACAAATGAATGACTGAATTATATAATATGTGCGGGCAGGGATCGGGCGCCGTTTGTGCTGACGCACGACATGGCGTACGTAATCAACGGTGGCGAGCGGCCCACGCAGCGCTTCCAGCACTTCGTGGAGCTGTGCTGCATGGCCTTCAACATCGTGCGCGCGCATCACACGCACATACTCGACCTCTTCGCGCTCGTACTACGCTCAACCTTTACACTCACAAACACCACTACTCGACCTCTTCGCGCTCGTACGTACTGCTTGCAACCTTTACTATACTGCGTACGTGACCAACGGCGGCGAGCGGCCCACGCAGCGCTTCCAACACTTCGTGGAGCTGTGCTGCATGGCCTTCAACATCGTGCGCGCGCATCACACGCACATACTCGAGCTCTTCGCGCTCGTACGTACTGCTTTCAACCTTTACGAGAAAGGTGTGCAGCCGGGAGTGTGGCCAATTTTCACTGATAAATCAGACCATCTTTATTTAACGTATTCGGTCGAAAACTTTGACAGCGTGATTTAGATTTGTAAGCGAGTACGCAGTCCGCCTGATGGTAAGTGAAAGATGTGGTCCATAGACATCTACATTTATTTTCAATTAAGAATTACAATGCAGATACGTTGTCAGCCTAGAGGACTAAGATGCAATGCCTCGATTCCAGTAAAAAGGGTCTCCGGTTCTCTACTTTCACCTTACGAAACACAGCCGCATTAAGCTGCTATTTTACGCTGGTATTCCGTGAGAGCATGGTTCTACCCCGGCCGAGCCGACCTATTCGTGCTACAACACTATAATCCTTTCTTGAATGGCCTCCGTGAGTCAAATGATTATTAAGAATGTGCGGTGTTGGTGATCAGATGGCGATGTCGGGCGCGGCAGGTGTTACGAGTGCAGCGGTGGCCTACGTGCGCGCCGCGCTGATGCCCGCCGCCACCAACGCCGAGGCAGCCGCCGCCTTCGCGCGTCTCATACACTCCTCGCTCAAGAGCAAGTGCGTACACACACGCGTCACACACACACACACACACACACACACACACACACAAAAACAAACCCCCCACACGTACATACACGCCCACAACCGTTTTAAAAACCGTAATTTTCATATCACATGGTTCACTTTTGACTTTAAATTTGAATGAAACAACGAAATTGATACATCTTAACATAAATCTGAATCGTTCAATACGATTATTTATTTTTCGACGTAAGAAATTAAGATTCCGTTTGTCGAAATTCAATATGTATTTTAAAATCTATTACCGTTTCAAAATAAGATTCCTCTGTCCCGAGAAGAAATGGTGAAAGAAACTTCGCAATTTCTTAGTGTCATCAAATGTTGTCGTTCACTGGTCTTTTACTCTTCAACGTATTTGAACTACAAATTAATGAGAATCTCTGCCGAATTCGAGAACAAATTGAACTGAACCCACCACTTTCTGCTACCCATGCGGATAAAGAATAGAATTAAATATGGCGTCGCCTCTATTCACCTCTCGCTCGCACACTGTCGCTATCTATATTCACAGCCGCCGCAGTATACTAACCACAGTCATTAGCTGAAAAAAATATGCGTTTTCCGCTACGTACGTTTACGCTACGTACGCTTGAATTCGTTATCATTGGAATCAATAATAACATATTAACATAAACTACAAAAAATCAGTTCGTTTTTGCTAATTTGTGAGCTACGACGCGTTCTGAGAGTTTTCTTCATAATTACTGTTGATTTGTTCGTTATTTTTAATACGCTTTTATTAGCTTGACCTGTATGTATGTGTGTATGTATGTAACGGAATCTTTTAACTTCATTTTCATCTACTTCTAGAAGTCTGATTAACTTAAAAATTTGCACAGGGGTCAAGGGCCGATGATAATACAATAATCTCAAAACTTTATATTAAAGTCCTGACTAAGATCATAAGTATAAAAATATATATATTTAGATAAGTGAGCAGGTTAAGCGTATACCACTCGCAGAACGCCGATGAAAATATCATTCTTCTTTATCGATAGACGATCAAAAAGTTCTTACTAGTGGAATATTGAGACTAAAAATTTAGAAAATAAATTATAGTTTAAAAAAACTAAAAAACCCCGCTTTAATAGTAGTCGAACTAAAAAGTAGAAAATAATTTTTAACGAAAATTCAAATAAATTGAAAAAGCGTGGGGTGCTTGATATTGAACGTGAGGGTCATTTTATTAGTTATTGTATGCATGCAGCACCCCACTCTTTTTAATTTATTTGAATTTTTGTTAAAAATTATTTTCTATTTTTTTGCTCGATTACTATTAAAGCGTGTTTTTTTAACTATATTTTATTTGTATAAAATATTTACATGTCATTGACACGTGAGTAATCATTTTAAAAATTTTCGTTTATCTGTCTGGCAGAGCTAATCTTCGGAATGGCTGAACTGATTGTTATACCTAAAACTTCACGAACAAATAGAGGGTAACAGGAGTGATCTAGGATAAATTTTATTCGAAAAATTTGGAGAATCTATTCCACATCCACATTTGACCGCGGTGATATACCGTCGAAATTAAAGAGGTCAAATATGACCGCACCCACCCACAACATTTTAACCCATAAATACTTATGTTTAGAGACTACTTTTCTATGAAGAAGTTTGGCATTATAGAATCAATATGAAGTTTTCTATCTTCTAGTGCAATAGAAAGTCAGTTAGTCTATGGATATTTATTTATAATCTACGTTCATTACGTACGCTATTTTCATTTGGATTTTGTTGTGTCGATTTTTGGATTTTTCTAGTGTTTTATTAGTGTTTTACTAATTGTTTTTTATTATAAAATTGTTATAAAAGTTTTTGTGTGAATATAATTTATCTTTTTAAGTAAATAATATCGAGTAATATACAACACGTAACATAATTAACGCACTTTGAGAAAGCACTTTGTTCAGAATCGTTTACTGAATCGATTCCTATCATTTTTAATATAGGTAATTTTTTCTCCCAAAAATAATTAAAACTACGTAAATTACAGTCACTCTAAATCTGTGCAGTCAAAACAAACTGAAATAGACTGTAACTTAAGGCAATAAGAAGTGCAGTTTTATTTGTATTATTAGTTATTACTAATTCTGTCGTTAAATAAAAATAAAGAAAAATGAACTTTATTTCAGGCACGTTAAAGTCTTTGCGTTCGTGGATTTGTACTGTGACCACAACATTCTTCCGGAATTAGTATAACTAATTTGATAAATAATCAGTGCATAAAAATGTTTAACTAAAAATTCAGTGTATGTATTATGATTATAACATAATATACTAATTGGGGTGTCTGAGGGTGTGCGTTAATTATGTTACATATTGTATAGAAATATAATAGTGATTTTCTCGCTGCCGACATGCGCATAGTATGTACCCGTTTTTTGTTATCAAAATACAAGTCTTTTTGTAACTGAATTTTGTTTAGACTACAGGATAGAGAATTTTGTATAGATTTTGTAATGGCAAACTTCTTCATAGAAAACTAGTCTCTAAATATAAGTTTTAATGGTTTAAAGTGCTGTGGGTGGGTGTGGTCGTATGCGACTGCTCGGGATTTGACGGACGCATGCGACTGCATGGGATTTTTATGGGGAGTGAAGGGTTAATATAGAGATATTGATAACAAAAAAAATAAATGATCCTTAATGATTATCTTAAATCTAAATAACGCCACTTACATCCCACCCAAGAAAAGTCAGTGCGATTCACTAGTTATAAATGTTATTTTAAAATTATTATACCCACTTAGGTATATTCAATTCTGTTCAAATATTTTCCCATTAATAGAAAAATTTCAATCAACCGAATTGTATAACGTAATAACGATGTACCGTTATCAGCGAGTTTTCGCTATTAATACTGTGTACGAGCTCGATGAGTCGCCATTTTTAATCCCATTCTTTATCCTTACGGACTATACGGTACTGGGTACATAATATGCTATCTTAATCATTTTATTGTTTCTTCACCTTGCAAAATAAATTAATCAATTTGGTTGAACTGTGTAATGTCGCCATTATAAAGCCTACTGAGAGGCGCGTTCTCTACATCGTTTACTGTTGAAACGCGCGGCTGAATGCCGCCAGCGCGAACCATCTGCGCGTGTTGGTTAAACTATGTAACGATCCAAGAGACGCAACACTCGTGGCCCGCGACGCTTATCAACCGCGCTGGCGAAAGCGTCACTGTAAAACCAAACTAAAACTTACATTATTGTCACATTTAATGATCTATCATTAAACACACTTAATATATTCAATTTTTGAAGAGAAAACTTCTTTAGCGGCGTTGTACACTTTTTTTTGTAATTGGTAAAAAATGTAAAACTCGCGTCAGGACACGTGACCTGATCGAAAATTCGTAAGACGGATGGAGAGTAGACAGCTGGCGCGGCGTAGGAGAGGAAGTATCCCCCTCTCTTTCTACGGCGCGGCGAAAATTTATGCCTGCGCCTGCTGTTTCGTTTAGGCGACGCAGGACTTTTGCGAGAATGTCAATAAATAAATATTGTATTCTACAACATAAATGATAATACTTTTATACTTATAATTAAAGCAATTCGTGCAAAATTATTCCCTAACCGTTCCAAAATATCAAAAATGCACAACGTTAATATTAAAGTTTTCACTTCTGCCGGCACTCCCTGAGTGCAACCCGTCGTTTTAGCTGGAGAGCTAGTGAACCCTCCGAGTAACGGTCTTCCTGTAAGGTTGGAAATTTGTACACTTAGTATCAATAGCATGCTAAGGGCAATAGCTATGACCTGGCACGCGTCAGCCCTGCACGTCATCAGCCCCTTTATTTTTTAAATTGTAAAATAAATAGAGTATATAAACTTGTTTCTGTAATTTTTAAAAATTTAATAGGATGTAGTTTATATATAGTAAATCTTGAAAAAAAAATTGACAGGCGATTGCAATGAGCAAAAGTATGTGACGGGTGAATTGAAAAGAGCATAGTTGATGAGGTAAAATAAACTTTCTCCTATATAGTTGAAATTTGGATATGTTTTTGTAACGTTTTAGTAAACGTTTTTTAAGGGCATGCGCGTAAGAGGTGTTAGGTTAACGCATATAGTGCGAGTGATATAAAATAAAAACGAATATGATAAATACAATACATTTTATTAGTTTTGATAGAAACAGAAACAGAAATTTTTTTATTCAATGTAGATTATAACAATACTTACTGAAAGTCACTTTTTTCATTTACCACTGGTTCGCAAAAAAAAAACCTCTGTCCTGGGAAGAACCAGCAAGAAACCCAGCGGGACTATTTTTTTTCCAATAATAGCTTACAATAAACAACACAAGACAAATTAGAAATAGCTTGGTAGCGATCACCCTTCCCAGGAGTTATTATCATCCGTAAATTCCTTAATATTATAATAACCCTTTTTATACAAATTTAGTTTAATAACATTTTTAAACTTCGTGTATGACAAATTTTGAAAAGTTCCGGGATTTTGTTGTAAAAGCGTATACATCGTACCAAGAATGAATTACTGACTCGGTGGAGTCGAGTAACTGGTACTACTAGCTTGTGTCTGTTCGTAGTATTTACAGAATGAATATCACTTATTTTCGCAAAACTACTTTTATTTTTGTGTACGTACATTACATTTTCATAAATGTATTGAGAGGCCAGAGTTAATATATTAATTTCCTTAAATTTTTGTCTCAGTGACTCTTTTGGTTTTAAATTATATATTGCTCTAATGGCCCTCTTCTGTAAATGTCTTGATGTAATCTACATTAGTTTTTACATTAATTTTCTTCATCATTATCCGACACTTCGCTACTACTGTTTTCATCATCATCTGACTAATAATGTTTTTCTGTTCCCAAAGTAGATTTCTTTTTAATAAATCAATAAGGTTATTAAGAATTGAATATCAAACTCAATTACATAGGAATCTATATTAAATCATATTGAATAAAATAATTGTATGTTGCCTGAAATGTATTCCTCAACTTCAGTTGATTGTACTCCGGCAGTATCAGTAGGCTCTCGTAAGAGTATATCATATATCGAAGAAGGAACCATATTCCCTTCAAACCAATTGAAATCGTAATGACCATCAAACCATCAATTAAGTTCCAACCGTTATTTTCAGGGGTTTGTTGATTGAGAGCAGGTATACGTCCCTTCCTATTAGATAAACGGTCTCACTCGCACCATAGACGTACACGTAACACCTCACTCGCACGCCCTTAGCAGCTTTCCCCTCACCTGTCAAAGTCTTATGCTATTTTTTTTTTTGCGAACCAGTGGTAAATGAAAAAAGTGACTTTCAATAAGTATTGTTATAATCTACATTGAATAAAAAAGTTTCTGTTTCTATCAAAACTAATAAAATGTAAATGTATTTATAACGTATTTTATACACTCGCACTATATGCGTTCACCTAACACCTCTTACGCGCATGCCCTTAAAAAACGTTTACTAACACGTTACAAAAACATATCCAAATTTCAACTATACAAGAGAAAGTTTATTTTTTACCTCATCAACTATGCTCCTTTCAATTCACCTGTCACATACTTTTGCTCATTGCAATCACCTGTCAATTTTTTTCAAGATTTACAATATATAAACTATATCCTATTAAATTTTTAAACATTACAGAAACAAGTTTATATACTCTATTTATTTTACAATTTAAAAAATAAAGGGGCTGATGACGTGCAGGGCTGACGCGTGCCAGGTCATAGCTATTGCCCTTAGCATGCTATTGATACTAAGTGTACAAATTTCCAACCTTACAGGAAGACCGTTACTCGGAGGGTTCACTAGCTCTTGGACTATTTTTTTTTTTTTGGAGTGATTGCATATTTAAACATCATATCATATAAAAAAAGCATCAATTGTAAAATAGAGTAGTTTGTAAAATATTAACAATAATTTTCTAATATTGAAATTGTATTTATTGTTACTAGATTTACTCCTATAAACTTCTTCCTGCACAATCTGGCGCAGCTGAGAGCAAGTGGGGACCAGACCAGTAGTTCATCGGAATTGCTTTCGTTTATGCCAAGAACGTACACGTAAGTATTTTCAACCTGCAATATTAAAGTTACAACCCGTAAGCGACACGCGCATTCTGTACATGCTTATTGCTACTTATATTAAATTAAAACGACGTGTTATATTCGGCGGTTCCCTTTATGACCTATATACGTACTACTACTGGGAGCAGTCCTCTCATTTTTGAAATGTTTCCACTCTTTCTTGTTCCAGAACCGAAATATTTAAGTTTTATTTTGAGGAAACCTTAAGTCTGCTGATCTTGACTTAAAATGGCGAACTCCACTCGACCCTTTTTCTCCAAAAATTGTTGGACTTTTTGAGCACAAATAAGCAGGTTTTATTGCGATATTTCGCAATAAAACCTGCACCTGGCCGCCCCTGTGACGCATCGTAACGTTTTACAAGACCTCACTCTTCCCAAATTGCGTTACGTATTACTTGAATGGCCTCTAATGAAGGTAGATGAATATCTACTACCCCTCATCACCCGTGAGTGTCGTAAGAGACGGCAGAGGAAAATTAAACAGACAGGAGATGGACAGACTACCACTTCCTTATAACAACTCAAAATAATTAAAAAAACTGCGGTTACCAATTCGCCTGACGTGGCAACTATGGCAAATATCCGCCCTATACTTTTATATAGATTTTGGAGTCAGTAATTATGATTAATATAACATTATAATTCGCAGCATGGCGCAAGAAGGTCGCCTCGTGCGCGTAGAATGCCTCAGCTACGAGAAGCGCTACGACCCCGAGAAGCACTACGTGTACGCGCTACGCGTGTACCGGCTAGGTCAAGCCACGCCCTCCGTGCTCTACCGCTCCTACAAGCACTTCACCGAACTCTACCAGAAGATATGCCTACACTTCCCGCTGGCAAAAGTGCATAGGTAAGAAATTGAAAAATACATTTTTCTGTTTCAGTTTTTGTCGTCGACGATTGTCTAGTCTAATTTAGCTATCGAATTAACTTGTTAAAGTTAGCGATGAGTTGTGTATGTATTTGTTTTCCTATTAGATTTCACCACTAATCGCTTCTGGTATAGGGGATGTGTAATTGTGAATTGTCAAATAATTCTGGAGAGTAAGTGTACTCGAGCAATATAACCATACTGGACTTCAGGGGGAAGAGGGACTCTTTACGATGAACTATTCCTTCCAGAAGCGGCCCCACAGAAAGTGGATGGTTGAGCTCCAATGGTTCGATAAAAAATGAGATTGACTTCATTATGACGACTACGACAACTGTTCAGTGATGTCTCAGTGATCGTGAGGGTGAAAACTGGCGGCAATCACCGAATGAGTAAAGGCACATTGAACCTAAACGTTAAGATCCAAGAGCAAGTCTTATCCAACATTATTCCGATGATATCTCGTATGCCAGCCTGAGCGAGATTAGAATGGCTCTCCATCACCTTAATAACGGCAAGGCCACGGGCGAGGATGGAATTACATTGGAGCTTCTTATCTAAAAACTAATACTTGGAGTCCTCCAGAAGCTCTTTAATTTCGTTTTCCATTGTGGCACTACTTCGGAGGCGTGGAGCAGAAGTGCGGAGGACATGTTCTTCCAGAAAGGCGACAGCGCTTTGTTGAAGAACTGCCGACTGATTTCCCTTCTGAACCTGAGTGCCTGAGTGTTGTTTTCGAGAGTCATTATAAATCGTATCACATACAGACTCGACGACTTCCAGTCTCCTGAACAAACCGGTTTCCGAATTGGCTTTAGAACCATATAACGCATCCATACCCTTCTTTGTACATATATATCTTTATTGTACCTTAATTGTCCATAAGACCAAAGAGTACAATCTGCCACTATGTCTTGCGTGTGTGAACTAAGAGAAAGTCTTAAGAAATTTGAGAAATAATTGATAGATCGACGATAATACGACATGTGTTCCGCCTCTACACGAGGCATCTTCAGGTGATGTAGACTCTACGGCGGCTGAACGTCGATGGTGTGTCTTTTCTAGAATAGTGGTGTTGGGAGTAGTGTTGCTGGGATTGGTGTTGACGGGATTGGTGCACGCAATTGAGGGAGGGCGGGGGGTGCTCTTCAAACTAGGTAAGACACATCATCTCATCATTTTATTTAATTGAGCGGATGGTTGCAAAGTAACTATTAATATCTTTATTAATTTGAGCAATTTTACAGTCCCTTCGGCAGTGCCAAGTTAATTGTCAGTATATTGAATATCCGGATATCTAAAGTACATAACCACAGTAACCGACATAGCCCAAGGGATAAGTGTTGAAGTGGCAATGGGCCGGCCATATAGCTCGACGAATGGATAACCGATGGGGAAAAAAGGTTCTCGAGTGGTAGCCTCGTACCGGTAGGCGAAGTGTAAGGCGGTTCTCCACTAGATGGAGTGACGACTTGGTAAGTCATCCAGGTGGCTCAAGTCCATGCTTTATGGAAGGTGAAGTGCTTGGGGAAGGCTTATTTTTAGCAGTTGACTTGATAGGGCTGTAATGATACCAGAGTATATACCGAGTGATACATATACTGAGTGACCTTTTTATCGTTATTTTGGTTTTTATTTTTTGTAAATTATCAGTGCCATAGGATTCTACTCCGTTCAAATGGTACACCCTATTTTTTTTCCAGACGGTAAAGAAGGTCATCCAGCATATATAGTTATTCTGTGTGTTTGTTTATTAATAAACTCCCAAGTGCCTGGACCAATTTAATTTTATTTAAATGAAATTGGTTTAAGTTTACAATTGGAACAGATAGATGGCGCTAGATCCATAAATCTCCCGTGCCAAGCCGGGATTGATTGCCAGTATTGTATAATATTTACAATTCTCACTATTCTCTTAGCCGTGATCCTTTACAAATGGAAATTATCTTACTAAATATGTTGATTAGATAAAACTAGATATATTTTTATTCACTAAATTTACATCCCTAAATCTACTATGCTTCGCTGTTATCGACTTCCGCTGAAGTTCGCATATTACCAACGTTGTAGCCTAAATCAAGAACCGTGCTTTTCATCTTTTTGCTAGACGCAGCTATAGGCCTATTTAGTTGCTGCCTGTGTTCAGACACCAGGTCCCAACTGCTTGGACCGTCCACTGGTTTACCGAAGCTCGTGTTACCGGTGTTGTCATTTTGGTTCGGTATCACTTCCGGAGTTTTGGAGTACGGCGGTGGACCGGTACTGCGACTTATGGAACTTTCTAGAGTGTTACTAGAGTATGGTACCGGCGTTTGAGATAATGGAGTAACTTGTGGTTGGGGAGCGGGCGCTTTTATCTTCTCTTTCTTTGGTGGTCTTTCTTGTGTTTGCTGCTTCTGCTGTGTTTCAAGTTTGAATTTTTCTCTTTTCAACTTCTCCTGTTTCTCTCGCTCGCTTGCTGCCAACTTCTCCCTTTTCCTTTGCTCTGCCAATTTTTGTTTATCTAATTTTCGTTGTTCCTTTTCTTGGTTTTTTATTTCCTTGGTTGTTTTATGTTCGCGGGTAGACGAGGCAAGGTCGCCTGTGCTTTTTCTTACGTTTTGTGGTATGTCGCTGAGTTTGGATAAGTCACTGGTACTCTTTGATGGTTTGACTCCTTGTGTCGAATGCGATGTATGTGGCAATTTCACCATTGATGGAGTTATCTTCCTGGGTGCAGTTGGATTTTGGTTACCTGAAAAAAATGGCTATTAGAGTTAAAATATTAAGGAAAGGTGAATGATGATATATTACGGAAACGCAAGTAAACGCATGATTTAACGCTGTTTTGAGCGTGTATTTTTTCATTATGTTGGCTACCTCCGAGATGCAATAACTAAGTCAAGCGTCATTAATGTTTCGAAACATTGAAGTCATTCAGTACGTTACTGTTTAGTCATCATCAAATTCAAATCTACATTGTGAAATTGAAGTTATTGGCATCCGTGGTATTTATTATTCTTCTCATATTGGGGAATAATTTAAAATAAATTAGGTCTTTGTAATTTGTTTCGAATACTTATTATATATTATGCGACCCTGAATTTGTGTCTTTGTCCCGCACCCTTTGCCTCTGACTAATGAACTGTGTTCCAACACTTTGAGACTTCACAATGAAATGATGTTTTTTTGTTACAATTATTTTTTCTTTTTTATTTACAATAATATTTAGTAATAAAAGGATGCCAATGATTTATAATGAGATCACCATATAATTACATATTCAAACATTTTTTTTTTCACTTTTGCATTCTTATTCTCACTTTGACATTCATATAAAAATATTTATGATAGGTAATAATTTTCTGTCCGTTAACACTTGTAAAAGTCCACAGCTGAACACAGGCCTTCCCCATAGGTTGCCTAATAGCCCTCCTATTATATTTTGTCTTAAAACCATAACGTTGCCACTTAACACATATCTTACCATAATAATCCTCTCGGTTACTCCTGTAAACACCCAAGATTTGTACATCAGAAGTTCTTTCACACTGGTCTTTGTTGTTCTTCTTTCCGGACAGTAAATTAAATGACGCCTTGAATCCACCTAATTTAAACATAGTGATTGAACACATTAAGGCACAGAAAATAAACAACCGCTGTTATGTAGGTCGTTCCATATGTATCTGTGAACAATATTCATGGAAATTTTGACAACTCGCAATTTCAATAGCGCCCGATACTTTCCATTAATTTGCATTACTTTAGAATACAGAGAACTATATGTAGTGATAATTTAAACTTGGACTTACCAGCGTAGGGGTTCCTTATTACCACCATTTAATTGTTTTTGATAATATTTTTTGTTAGTGTAGCTAAATACGCTTGTTCCATTACTGTTCAAATCAATACTTCCAATCTTCAGGATAAGATAACGCCAAGTGTCAGCTATGATGTGAATAATGCAATCTTATCTGTTACAAATTATTCTAACTTATCGTGTCGAACGCATAGAAGCATGTCCGCGAACCGCGATATTTAATAATTATCTTGTGATCAATTAGTGTTCGTACGTTAGTTCAACTCAAATGATTTGGATCTTTAAGATATTATAAACAGTAGCTATTCAAGCACGAGGATTTGGAATGTTTTGCAAACTACAGTACAACCTAAATTATGGTGTTAGTTTAAGCTCCATATTAAAATTTTATACAATTGTTTAAAAACCTATCGGGGTAAGAAATAACACAACTTTTTTTAATAAGGATAAGGGTGACAACTCGTTTGTCACACAGTCCACCTGATGGTAAGTGGATGTTGTAAACCATAGACATCTACATTCAATTAAGAATCAAAATGCAGATGCGTTGTCACCCCTGAGGACTAAGATGGAATGCCTCGATCCCAGTATAACGGGTCGCCGGTTCTCCACACCATACGAAACACAGCAGCATTAAGCTGCTATTTTACGCTGGTTTTCTGTGAGCGCGATCCTTCCCCGGTCGAGCCGACCCATTCATGCTACAACCATAATATAGTTGCAGCGTGGCTCTACCACGTAAAGCAAGTTTCAAAATTGTTTAGAATGAAAATATTTTGAGCAGCATCTTTCTGATGGCAACTCAAAATAGTAAGAACTGCGTTTGGCAACTATAGCATAATCCCCGCTTTGGGGCAATATATGGGGGAGTCCAAAGTTCTGTCGTGGACTTTTATAGGCTGTAATGGATGACTTAAAAAAAACTGATTGTCAATAAGTAACTTATTTATAAATAACCGTTCAAATATGAGATGAAGCACTCGACTTCTTTTATATTTTTCGGTATTACTTTTATTACGTTTTTTATACCTATATCAATAAATTGCAAAACTTTATTTCATATGAAAATAATATATACCTACGTAAAATGATATAGGTTAAAATAAACACATATTGGGCTTTTTTGTCTTCTTGCGCACTTGAGGCACTGTGACACGGCTTGCGTAGTTATATGTATCGGAATAGATAGTAATCGGAATTTGCTACTGCGTTTGAAATTGTCTATGAAGATAATATCATCGTTATGTTTATCACATGCGGATTATTGTATTAAATTATGAATATTATTTAGCTTACTTATCGACTCTATATACTTAAGTTTAGAAAAGATTAATCCATCAACATATTTTATAAAAAAATTATGCGTTTCCCCAGAGAACGAGTACTTTATAGTTAATAAATATTTGTTCGGGGCTGGATGCTTATCCATGCCTAATAATTCAACAACAGCTCTACAATGTAGGCATCATATCTAGCGTAGTTGTTAACGTTTTTAAGTGATAAATAACAATATGCCGTATTATGGGGTTGAAGTGATGTAAAAGTATCTATTAACCCATATCATCCTGTGGATGTCTTATGAGGCGAAAATGGAACAGGACAAGAGCTGCAACATCTTCTCTCTTCTTCTCTTCCTGGCAAAGTATAGTAGAAAACTATGGTTGCCAATCTGTCTGCCTGCGGCAACTATGGCAAATATCTTCCTTATGAGGCAAACCACGAGGGACGGCTGTATTTAGCCGTTTTATTTTGATAGGCTATAATGATGAGAATGATGAACAATATGCAAATAATCATGCTCACTTTCCATACATTGATGGACCTGCCACTTGATTCGTTTAACAGGTCGCGTCTACCTACCACGAGTGTTGTATAAAAACAATTATTGTTTATAATAACATAATAACTTATCATCTTTTCATTTAGAGGCCAGGAAACAATGCTATTAAGTAAATAAGTTTTTGAGGTTATAACAGCTGTCAGATAAGGTCTGTACACTTATATTTCTTTCCATATTAGTATAAAACCATTAAAAAAGCATACCTACATCTGAGGAATGAACAAGTTTTTCGTAGTCTGAGATGGAACGTGTAAAATACGTTTTTTATATAAATATATAAAAAAACGTATTTTACACGGCATTGGCATGGCTTCTGAGCCTTTAAGCCATTGTAAAACACGTTCAGTCTCCAAAAGCCTATTGAGATGTTAAACATAGTAACATTACTTTTTTTCTTAGCTTTATTTAAAAATTCAATTATGCGATACGAAATAAGCAAAAAATATGCAATTTTATAAGATATTTTACATCAGTAGACGCGTTAGAAAATTTTCAGGTCAAGACTGGACATGATTCTTTGAGATGGTATTAATATAGGGGTCTATTACAGTCTATGTGCTTCACGGACTATTTATAATTTTACCAGTATACTCGCACTAGACATGCAAGTCTTCTTGTGGTTGTAGCTGGAATGGGTCGGCTCAGCCGGAGAAGGACCACGCTTTCATAGATTACCAGCTTAATGCTGCTGTGTTTTGTATGATAAGTATAGCGAACTGGAGACTATTTTACTAGTATTGAGAAATTCTATCTTAGCCCTCAGGTGACTGTAAGCTTGTTTGCCACCCCTATGCCTTGAAGAATTCTCGATATATCGCGTTTTTAATACACAAATGAAAAAGGTATATAAGAGCAATGAGCGACGGTGATCTCTTACCAATCAGGTCAGTTGTATTATCATTTGCCTCCAATTCTATAAAAAGATCATCTGTGTGTCCGTAGCCTGCCATCTGGACTGCACGTGGGTCGCTCGAACACTCGACAGGTGGCCGAGCGGCGGCTGGGCGATGTGCAAGCCTTCCTCACTTCGCTGTTCGGTCTCGCCGACGAGATCGCGCACTCTGACCTCGTGTACACGTTCTTCCACCCGTTGTTACGTGACCAGCAGGATGTCGAACCGCAGAGGATGAAGAACAGAGGTGAGCTTTGTTACTTGGATAAATTCTTATGAATATCATCAGCATATTTTCTCGAAATGTGACTCGAGACCACTAAATCCATCGTCCTAAACGTCTCACCTGTGATTTTTAACTTTGGTAAGTTCACATAAGTATCGTCTTCAGCAACATAAACATAAACTCTCACGCCTGTCACCCAGAGGGGTAGGCAGAGACTACAGACTTCCATTTGGCACGATCCTGACACACCTCTCTCGCCTCCTTCACATCCATATACCTACGCATACATGCTCGTCGGTTAAGGGTACTCATAATTTTGCCCGTTTTCAATAAATCGCCAATTTGGTCGATAAACTTTTGCCTAGGACGTCCCTTTCCGACTCTGCCGTTCAATTCTGCAACATAAATTATCTTTGTCACTCTTTCCTCATTAATTCTTTCCACATGACCAAATCACCGAAGCATTCATTTCTTAATCCTGGTCACAACATCATCTTGCAAACCACACTTTTCTCTTATCACACAATTTCTCACCCTGTCATTCATATTCAGCAAATTTTCTTAAAATGTGATTCGAGACCACTAAATCTATCGTTTTAAATCGCACCGTGAGTGACATACTGTCCCAAAATTAAATTTAGATTGAGATATCGTGTTTGGCATCCAATGAAAGTTTTAATTCGGAATGTACTCGACATTTCGAAAATATGTGTTAAAATGTTAACTACATGGTATTTATTAGTTAACATTTTTTTTAACTGAAGTGACCAACGAAGTTAGTGGCTGGTAAGAGACTTCTTTAGCCCACGGGCACCTGCGGCAAACTTCAAACAAAGAAGGCCGCAGATGCGTCGTCATCTTTCTTCTTTCCACCAGTCCTTAAGACAAACTTATGTCTATAAAGGAGAAGGACACATGCTATATTTATTTAAAACAACATGCGAGAAATTTATTAAATTAATTGCATCAGGCAAGCAACACATCAAATGCGTAAAACAGAAATAATTATATTTACGTGGAATGGAATACTAGAACGCGTTCAAGCGACTGTGCGTCGCTGTAATCGTCTAATATGGGTTAATACGGAATACACCCTTAATGAATCATTATATGGATATGTCCAAACAATGCGATAAACATGTTCATATAGCAAAAGCCAAAGATCTTACAGAACAGAACGAAAGATCTAAAAGAATAACAGAACAGACATGTATTTATCTATACGGCCTTCGAAAAAGCATTCGACCGTGTGGATCATGTCATCCTGCTCCAAAAACTACAAGCGCTTGGGATTTGTGGTGATTTGTTAAGATGGTTCCATGCTTATATTTTTAACCGCAACCAAGCTGTAATTATAGGTGGTTTCAGATCTGATTACATTAACGTCCCTTCGGGTGTTCCACAGGGATCTATACTTGGTCCTCTCCTGTATATAGCCTACCTGTATGATATAGGAACATGTTTACAACACGCTAATTTTCTTCTATATGCAGACGACAAGAAAATATATATTAATATAAACTCAGAAAGGGACTGTCAGCTCCTCCAAGACGACTTAAATAAGACTTGCTCTATACTATAAAAATAACTGCATAACAGCTAATATTGAAAAATGTATAACAATCACGTTTACCCGTAAAATAAATCCTATACAGTATTCTTACCACATTGACAGTCATCCCATAACAAAGCAAACAGCGTTAAAGACTTGGGAGTAACTTTAGATAGCATACTAACCTTTTCAGAACACATTACATTAATAACCATGAAAGCCTACAAAAATCTTGGATTTATCATGCGTGTCACCAAACCTTTCAATGATTTAATTTGAAGCACTTTATTTTTCATATGTCCGCAGCGTGTTGGAATATTGCTCTATTAGATGGAATCCTCAATACAAAAAATATGTAGCTGCCATACAGGGTATACAAAGTAGATTCCTGCGGTACCTCAATTACCGGGGCAGACACAGGAGCGAAGAATACCATAGCTCTTGTCAGCATCACAACTTATTAACATTACAAGATCGTAACATTACAATGTAACTGACATGATGTTGTTATAATATATATAACTGACACGACCGGTGCAGTTCTAGTACACTTGACGAATTTGTTGAAACAGAAACACCTGGTAAACAGGTTGAAATTAAAGTGTTTGTTGTCATTACTGATAACTTGCTATCTGCTTTAAATAAACGCTTGAAAGCGTACCAAAATCTAACTGGTATGTTTGGAATATTTTAACAAGGTGTAATAGATACTTAATCTACGGCTGAATTAGCAGTAGCTTTCGACGTTAGCATCAAAACAATTTTGGTGCATTTGAGTCAAATTGATAAGGCAAAAAATCTTGACAAATGAATGCCCCGCGAACTTAATGATCGAACAGACCTAAATGTATAATAATGAGAGTTTCCTTTCTTAAGTGAGTTATATTTAATTAATACATACGTTGCCATAATTAATTACGTCTATTAAACACTAATTTTCACTTTAAACCATGAGATTTTGCAAATACGAGCGGTATTTATTTTGTTCACGAATGACTGGCAGATAGCGTGCGCGTAATGGCGTAGCACTATTATATATTCTGTGGTAATGGTCTCTCCTGTATCTTTCTCGTTCCAACATACGCCTACACTATGCTCTTTCTCTTTTAAATTCTGTCGCTAGGTATATTTATAGCATATTATATTGTTTGTATCGGGCAGGCGAGGCGCAGGCGCACGAGGCGGAGAGCAGCGGGTCGGGGTCGCTGAAGCTGTCAGTGCAGTACGCGGGTGGCGTGCTGGCCGTGCTCATCCTGCACGCGCAGTCGCTGCCCGCCGCGCCACAGGGCCTGCCGCCTAACCCATACGTCAAGGTAACCATGCCGGCCGTGCTCATCCTGCACGCGCAGTCGCTGCCCGCCGCGCCGCAGGGCCTGCCGCCCAACCCATACGTCACGGTACCGTTCCGTGCCGGCCGTGCTCATCCTGCACGCACAGTCGCTGCCCGCCGCGCCACAGGGCCTGCCGCCCAACCCATACGTCACGGTATCCGTGCCGGCCGTGCTCATCCTGCACGCGCAGTCGCTGCCCGCCGCGCCGCAGGGCCTGCCGCCCAACCCATACGTCAAGGTACCGTGCCGGCCGTGCTCATCCTGCACACGCAGTCGCTGCCCGCCGCGCCGCAGGGCCTGCCGCCCAACCCATACGTCAAGGTACCGTGCCGGCCGTGCTCATCCTGCACGCGCAGTCGCTGCCCGCCGCGCCGCAGGGACTGCCGCCCAACCCATACGTCAAGGTACCGTGCCGGCCGTGCTCATCCTGCACGCGCAGCTCTGCTCGCCGCGCCGCAGGGCCTGCCGCCCAACCCATACGTCAAGGTACCGTGCCGGCCGTGCTCATCCTGCACACGCCGTCGCTGCCCGCCGCGCCGCAGGGCCTGCCGCCCAACCCATACGTCAAGGTACCGTGCCGGCCGTGCTCATCCTGCACGCGCAGTCTCTGCTCGCCGCGCCGCAGGGCCTGCCGCCCAACCCATACGTCAAGGTACCGTGCCGGCCGTGCTCATCCTGCACGCGCAGTCTCTGCTCACCGCGCCGCAGGGCCTGCCGCCCAACCCATACGTCAAGGTACCGTTCCGTGCCGGTCGTGCTCATCCTGCACGCTCAGTAGTCGTCACGAATCTTGAATGCCTCTTTTCCTTCTTCATCAACCCATTAAAGTCCACAGCCAGGCATTAGCGGAGGAGAGCATATTATACACAGGAGCAGTAGTAGATAGTTTCCCATTTGTCTTAATCTTCATGCTTGGCGGACGGATTAACGTTCGCAGTTACCATACTTTTTGTACCTTTGTAGCTGCGTGCGTAAACGATAAATCCACCTATAGCGCCATCTATCGGAAGTCGATGAGATTTTCCTGACATTTGCCATAAACGCTTCTTATGACACAAAGTAATAAATTCTCTTATACCACCACCACCACTACCACACAGCAAAATGTTAACACCAAGTAAGTTAAAACCGACGAGGACCGAAAATAAAAACCAACTATTTACAGGTGTACTTGGTGCCAGATCCTACCAAGGAAACGAAACGGAAGACGCGCGTGTTAAAGCGTAACTCGCACCCGTCCTTCATGGAGATGCTCGAATATCGCTTGCCGCTCGAAGTCGTCCGGAGCAGAAGTCTGCAGGCGACAGTGTGGCATTACGACTCCCTGCAGGAGAACCAGTTTCTAGGCGGCGTGGTAATACCACTCAGCTCGATACCGCTTAGAGAAGAGACGGTGGCGTGGTATCCCCTGGAGTATATCCCACGGTAGCTATTGCTTTCCCGCTCCGCTATATGGAGCACTGACATGCCTACCAGATAAGTACATAGTCTGTCATAATAAGATTAACTTTAACGTTTTGTTATTACATTTCAAACTTTTTGAGTAATAGGAACTATTTTTAGATGCTGAAGAAATTTTTTATCACGACTGAACTAAGCACAAAAATATCGATATATTTTCATTTCGATGGTAATGAAAATGCTTGAAGCGTTTTCTGCTATATTGCCCTTATGCAGCTTAAAGAACTTTGTGTCTACACAGTTTACTATATTATTGCCGATAAATTACTATTTTTTGGGGTATTATATCAATTACACAGGACGTATCTATCACATATTCTAATATGAAAACTTGATATGAATATTAGCGCCCGGTGAATTGAAAAGTCTATTGCAACTTGCCAAATTCAACAATGGATGTATGCTCCTTTATAAATTATTCACAATATGAGGGGTGTGTGTATCATTGGTACCTAGTGAGACTTGTTTGCCCAGCGCTTAAAAGTCAATTGCTAAAGCAGTAGGAACTGAACCATTAGAATACGAGAAACCACACACTTTTGACGTTGCTACATATCACCGGTCGGGGTATTTCCCATTTGTGGTTATATAATATAGTTTACCAAATATGAACTTTGATTTAAAATCGATTTATATTAATTTTGCATTTTAATTGTGCCCAAATCGTACTATTGTCACCATTCGTCATTTATATTAAGGTAAAATTAATAAATTGTTGAATCAACAGTTACTTAATGTCTTTGGAATTAACCTCGTACGTAATGAAACAGGTCGTAATCTATAACGAAATGTTTATTATATTGTATACTTTTGTACGTGGTAGAGCCACGCTGCAGCTATATTATGGTTGTAGCACAAATGGGTCGGGTTTACCGGGAAGGCCCACGCTCTCACAGAATACCAGCGTAAAATAGAAGCTTTATACTGCTGTGTTTCGTATGGTGAGTTTAGAGATACAGAGCAGACCCTTTTGTACTGGAAACGACGCATTCCATCTTAGTCCTCAGGGGTGACAACGCATCTACATTTTTATTCTTAATCGAGGATAGATGTAGATGCCTATAGACCACAGCATCCACTTACCGTCAGGTGGACTGTGTACTCGTTTGCCACCATTATTATAAAAAAAAAATAATGGGAAAACGGGCGAAATTACTGATCAGTGGCTGTTGGTAAAAATTATACTTAATAATTTGTGCCAAAAAGTGTGTTTCTTTTATTTTGTAGTACATATATCCTAAACACATATCAGCGATTTATATTAGAAATTCATATCATTTATTATATCAACAAAATTAAATAAAAAATTTTGGTACTTATTGCTTTTGAGCCTTATAGTTATACAATGTATCGCATTGGTATGGAATTAATTTATTACTAATGAATAATTAAGTGCGAAGTCAAATTTAAATGCGAATTGAAATAGTTATATTGTATTGTGACAGAGAGAGGAGATGTGTTAAAGAAGGAAAGAACATTATTTTTAATCGTCTTTATATCCAGAACATAGCAAAGCCCGGATGAGTTATATTGAAATGTAAAATCGATATGAAATATAGTAAACGATGTAATGCTAATTTGCTAAATAATATTTTTTCATTTACGTTTTACAATTTTAGAGAACTTTATGAATAAATATGTGTTTGTGTGTTAGCGTTTTATATCAACAGCATCATTACGCCGTTATGAATAATTGATTTTATTATATAATATTATATCATTGTACATTCAAAATTACGTTTTAAAATATTTCAAACTTTATTAACACGTTTCTTTTAAAGTATTTTATGGCAAAATTAGTGATCCATCTATTTGTTAGATAATTTTGGCTAATTTTATTCGTCGAATTTCTGGGCTATTTTAAAACTATCACAAAATGTTTAATAATTAATAATTATTTTTTAGTTAATATGTATATACCATTCGACTTAGTTTAATTTATGTTTATTTTTTGTTCCAATCTTAATCAATAAAGTTTAGATCTGAGTTCTTAAAAAGCAATTGGGCAGACAAGCTTGATATAAATTTTATTTCATATTTATATGTTTGAGATAACCATATTATGCTATTTCATTTATGATAGTAGTTAGTTACTTATTTATTAAATTTCATAATGAACATTTTATAGCATTATTATGTAACGATATATGAATCATGTTCCATTTATCTGTGCCTTTTTGCAGATATTATTAAAGATTTGTTTTTTTTTTTTAATTTGTAATGAGGTTGTTGAATGAAGCATTTTTTATAGAGCATTATAAAAATTCCTAAACAAAACTTCCAGATAGAGCTCAAAGAGTCAATGAGCGTTTCTTGTTCATTCGACTGAAGGTACCACGTCCTCTGTATATACCGATTTAGATAGATTTTTTACCAGTCATATTACTACTACGTGTAACGAAATCATATTATGCATTTTGTATATTGTAATGAATGAAGTTATAAATAAAATACTGCGATATAAACTTGTGTTTTATTTCCAAATTGTATCATATAACAAGATCTTATATATATTTATAGATAAGATTGTTTTCTTAAACCGTCTGTGGAAACTTGGTAGAGGTCGCTCTCTTTGGTGGCTAAGTAGTATATTCCAGGGTGAGTTAAGTCTGTCTTCCTGCCCAGAACATTAGTCTCTACATAGCCATTGTAAAAGTCTCCGTGCCGTGCTTTCTTAACCATATCGCAGGGGACTGTGAGAAATTTGTTTGGGTTGTTGAGGGCAGCGATCCAATAGAAACCAGAACAGACGTGGCTGCAGAGCGTTAAACATGGCAATATGAAGTCGTGCGTCTTAGATTGTTGGTATTCACCTGGTAACGAGGCAAAATAACAGTTTATATTTTAGTAATTGCTTGGTCCTCCATTTGTCTAAATTAGCAGACAGACTAAGTTCTGTAGCATATGCTGTAAATAAAAAAGATTAGAAGTCTCACCAATGTTGGGTCAGCTAGATTAATCTATTTTGGTTATTTTCATAGCGTAATTGATTATGGAATTTTGGTATGGGATAATGCGACTGACATTGAAGCCATATTTGTTTTGCAAAAGAGGGCCGTAGGGGCGAATTAAAACTTAAATTGTAAAGAGTCCCTCAGAAAAAAATAAACATATTAAAGCTACTTTTACGGATTTTATCGCGTTTTATTTATTTTTAATATCCGACCCGTTTCGGGTGCTTTCCAGCACCCATGGTCACGGGGGACTGAGATGACTGACATCCCGATGTCAAAGTTAACCCGGAGCACCTTCAGCTTTTTAATTATTGTCTTTGGTCCGATCTACGCAGAATGACTGTGTTTTGAAGTCTTGCAGTGGTATGCTTGGGTTTAGTTTTTTTATTAATTATAGGATCCCAAGCAGGTGGTAGTACCCAGCCTCCTTCTCTATTGAAATTAGGATGTTTTTTAATTTCAATAGCCTCACGTATGATCCTTGGTAGGAATCGATGTTCTTTCGCGAGGATTTGTAGTCTATCAAATCTGATGTAATGGTTGGGGCCATCTAGGATATGATCGCAAACTGCAGACTTCCCGGAACGTTGATGCTTCACTAGGAACAAACATAAGGGTCTAATACCTGTTACTAGACTCCACAGAATTAGTAATTATGGGACATTTATGGGGCAATTTATACGCTTTTACAACTTAATCCCAGAAATTTTTCAAATTTTGTCAATAACCAAAAGTTTTCGTAAAATAAACTGTACCAAAATATTATAATATTGTTACGCGCTAAAATCGGCGCACTAGCGCCATCTAGTCTCGAACCGAAGAACTAAACTTCTTGAAGTTTAAAACTCGAACTCTCGATACCTTGCGCGTGTTTACTTGAACATTCTGGATATTTTGCTAATTTATATAAGTAGGCGCTGCAAGATGCGATCGAGTAGTGTTGATTTGGCGAAACAAGCGAAGCTTCGGAGCGGAATAAAGTGAATAAGTGTGTTTAATTATTAGTGTTTTTAACTTTAATTTGTGTAAAGTAAATTAAAGTGTTAATTTAGGTAATTTTATCGGCAATTTTTATTGTCACGAACCTCAAGCTCGTAACAATTGGTGTCAGAAGTGGGATAAAATCACGCCGATTTTACCTAAGGAGGAAACCGAGGGTGTCCGTACCCGAAGTCAACGCCAGCAGGAGACGGACCAACGAAGATTTGGTGGTGCAACGCCGCAGACGTCGGAGGGCCAGCCACCGGCTGAAGGCCCGTCGGTAGCTCCTACATCTGCAGCACCTGACTTAGGTGCTCTGATGTTGATGCTGCAGGAGCAGGCTCGCCGACAGGAGGAACAGGCTTGCCGACAGGAGGAACAGGTCCGTCAGTTGAAAGAGCAGCTGCAGGGCGGACAAGAGGAGCAGGCCCGCCGACAGGAGGAACAGGCCCGTCGGTCGGAAAAGCAGATGCTCCTCATTAAGGATCTTCATGCTACCTTTGGGAAAGAGATAAAGGAGGTGAAGGATAAGGTTGCTCAACACGACAACCGCCTGTCGGAAGCTGAAACCCAAATCAAGGAAGCTAAAACCCAAATCGACCAAGTGAACAATCGGGTTGATTACGTGGTGGCTGACGTGAAGAAAACGCTGGACGACCTCAAACTGGGTGATGGAACTACAGCTCCCGTAGTAGCTACTACACCTTCGCTACGTGGGTTCAAAGTGCCACCGTTCGACGGGACTTCTTACTGGTCAGCCTACAAAATCCAGTTCGAGGCTGTTATGAAGGCGAACGGCTGGAATAAAAGTCAGGCCATGACTGCTCTCACACTAGGCCTACGCGACCAGGCCTTAACAGTCCTGGAAGCTCTCGGTGAGGAAGTGACTTATGAGCAACTCCTTGAGGCATTGGAGGCGAGATATGGTGAAGCTCACCTGGAACACGTCTTTCGTGCGCAGCTTAAAGATTGTGTGCAGCGCATCAACGAAAACCTGCAGCAGTGGGCTCTAGAAGTGGAGAAGCTGGTGCGA